AAATAGCCTACATAATCGAGATACTGCCATCTCATATGAGAATACCGCTGATCATTTAGAGGAAACTTAATACATTCTAGAACTTATGCTGCAATAGCAAGTTGGCTACTTCAGATGATTTCAACACGAGAATGGATGTGGGAAAAGAAACAATGCTATTTGTACAGATACTCTGCGGGCGAAACATAGAAATAGAGACATAGACCAACAAGTAGCCCTCGCTAGCTCCTAGATAGATGATACAAGGTAACATGCTGATACTTTTTTCAAAGCCAGCCAATCACAAAAGAAGAGAATGGTACAGACACACAAAAGACCTCTTATTAAACAAAGCCCTTCATAGAGCAATTTCTCCCTTCCACGCAGCGTCAGACAATCCCAATGTCCCCATCAGGTTCTGCCACCGTGGACCTCCGCGTTCCTTCTTGCGGACATATTGTAGCAGCTTCTGGCGCTTGTGGACTAGTAGCTGCATGTTGCGCTTGTTGTGTTTGTCCTTGTTGGCAGTCTCGAGGTGTCGGGAGAGGTTCATGATTTTCACGGTCAGGATCGCGGCTTGCACCTCTGCAGAGCCAGTATCGGGTCCGACGCGCGGCGCGCGTTCCGGATGCACAGGGGCAGATCCATGGACCACAGCCGAAGGCTTTGGTGGGAGATTTAAGTCTGTGTAGTGTCGCCCGAATGTTTCGATGCACTTTGTAATGTTGAGGCGCACGCGGTCCTTGGTGTTTCCGTTGTTCAAGTTCACAATCCGGTTGATTGCTTCTTGGGCATTCTTATGCTCTTGATTATGCAAATTCACTGCCTCCTTCTCAACCTGAGGATCGGCTGTGTTGCGATCAGGGTTTTTAAGCGGTGCTGTCAAATCCTTGGAGAAGTCAAGAGCGGCATCCAGCTCATTCGACTTCAAGTAGTAGTTGAGATCCCCAGCCAAAGATGATGGGATGTGCGAGTTGGTTTGGATTGCTGTCATCTCTAGGATAAATGGTGTCGGCTGGCTCTTCACAGGGTCGCCAACCGAGGAGTTCCGTTCCTCTGCAAGGACTTTCTGGCGGGAGACGTTCGCTGCCTTGCGCTGGCGCGCCTGGGCCATCAAGAATGGGTCATGTTTCTTTCGAATTTGAACCTTGCTGGACACAGCTCTGGTAGTAGTGTTGATCGAATTAGACAACGGGGTATATCCGTAAGTTGATCCTAAACAAGTCTTGGTTAGCACCCAGGTAATTGAACGATTGGTATGACGGATTTCAAGTAGCATACCGGTCAATGCCTTCAGAGAGGACTGGACTGAAACGCGCGGGGGCATGGTGGGCGTAGCTGGCGAGTAGATGGCTCTATTGTCACAAGCAACTTCTCTTTTCCATTGACCTTTGGTCGGGAAATCTTGCGGCCGGAGGTCTAGTTACGCTAATCCTAGTCAGGACGTCCGCTGACTCAGGCACCTAGTATCACGTGAACGAGGAATCAAGACTAATATTATGTAATCAACTGCCCAGCCCCGGAGCCCTAGCCCTAGCGCACGCAAGCGAAATTCTCCCGAATCGCGAGAGTGCAACAATTTTGCGGCTTGGCTTTGATCTTTTTCCCTCCATCACCACGACAAGAGCCAGACGATTGATCCTCCAACTCATCAATCCATCAATCGCCCAACATGGCCCCTTCCCAGCTTCCCCCGGTTTTCAACCCTACCGCGCAGGACATTGAGATGCTCCTTGCCGCGCAGTGCCACCTTGGTTCCAAGAACCTTCAGGTGCACATGGAGCCTTACCTCTGGAAGCTCCGCGCCGACGGTGTCAACGTCCTGAACATTGGCAAGACCTGGTATGCGCGACAGCCAAGTGACTTCTGACTGTAATATAGTGTCTAATATATATGTTTCACTGCAATAGGGAGAAGATCGTCCTGGCCGCCCGTATCATCGCCGCCATTGACAACCCCGCCGATGTCTGTGTCATCTCTGCTCGTCCCTACGGTCAGCGTGCTGTCCTGAAGTTCGCCTCCCACACCGGTGCTACCGCCATTGCCGGTCGTTTCACCCCCGGTAACTTCACCAACTACATCACCCGTTCTTTCAAGGAGCCCCGTCTCATCATCGTGACCGATCCCCGCACTGATTCCCAGGCCATCAAGGAGGCCTCTTACGTCAACATCCCCGTCATTGCCCTTTGCGACACTGACTCCCCCACCGACTTCGTCGATGTTGCCATCCCCACCAACAACAAGGGTCGTCACGCCATCGGTCTCGTCTGGTGGATGCTCGCCCGTGAGGTCCTCCGTCTCCGCGGTACCCTCGCTACCCGCGAGACCGAGTGGGATACCGTTGTCGATCTCTACTTCTACCGCGACCCCGAGGCCGAGGAGAACAAGGAGATCGCCGATGAGGCTAAGGTCCCCGGTGCTGATGAGATCGGTGCTGGTGCCGTCGAGTCCGGCTTCGCTGGTGAGAACTGGGATGCCTCCGCCCCTGGCGCTGGTAACCCCGGCACTGCCTTCGCTGCTGCCTCCGCTGCCACCGCTACTGCTGGTGCCACCAGCTGGGATGCCGAGGGTGGTGACTGGGCTGCCAGCTCCGCTCCCGCTACCACCGAGTGGGCTGAGGCTCAGCCCGCCGCTGGTGAGGCTAAGTGGTAAATTGCTCCGCGGTGACAAGGATAGTCGTTGAGAGGGGGGAAGTTTGATCACAATAAAAAGTTGGGTGATCTGGGATGATTGATGATTTTCTGGGTCCTTCGAGGCACGGGAATCAAGGAAAGGCTCTTGTTTTCTCCTATACACCATCTACTCCATTCACAACAATGGATTACAATCTCCCTCAAATTCCCTTGACATGTCTATCCTAGTCCCTGTGTGCAATTCTCCAAAAAAACGAAAAGAAACTGAAAAACAGAAGAAAACGAGCTTTCACCGGGAACCTTTCAATCTTTTGCCTCAGTGGTCTCATCTTACCAGCACTTTTTTTTTTTATTTCCATGTTTTTGCATCGGGGAGGAATTGCCATTGCCAATCATTGACTGGCGCTTATGAGGGAAAGAGATCCAGTTGCTTTTATTTACGAAGCTTCTGGGGGAAAGCCCTGTGCTGTCAATTCACGAGGTGGACTTAATCGTTACCTTGGTTCTTCCCTGTGTGTATTCTAGTAATCTGAAAAGGTTGTGCTCGGTATCATATCCAGTAGGTTTTGTAGTGTAGTGCCTGGCTGTAGACTTCATTGTTCGTCTATATTTGGGTATTAGTATATCTCTCTTTCTCTCAATAAGCCTTTCTAGTACTTGGATCGCTAGCTCGCAGACGACAGCCGTTCCACCCGCCCTGCCTGGTAGTCAGCGCGGTAGCGGTCTAAGTGCTAGAAAGGCACTCACTGATATCTGTATTGGCTGTCCTGGTTGTCTCCATGGTATTTGTTATTTAGAATCTGGTCTGCTGTCTGTAATATCTTAGTGGTTGCATAGAGCATACTCTCTAGCTGAAACATAGGCTACTAAGAATAGAAAAATAAAGAAGTTCAACATTAGAAAGCCGCATATGCGAACATGGACGACGAAATAATCAAAGAATAACGCAAGAAGTGCCCTCAGTCTGGCCACCTTTTGCAGTGGTCGTCATTGCCGCCAATCTAGCGAGATCTTCAAACGTCTCTGCAAGCAGCTCGCCTGTGACAGCCGAACACTCGGCATATCTATCGCAAACAAGTTCCTGCGCAATACGATAGGCCTAGATAACTGTCAATTTTCAAGGCGTGAAACTCCAATTCATAGTCACTCACCTCTTGTGGATAGATGATTCCCTCGCCTTCCCTCCGTAGGTCCCTTTTCAGGCCCAGCATCATTACTGGAAGGCGCTCGCCGTGACCGTACTGGAAGTAACGGGTAATATCATTTCGCCACTAAGCAATAGTGTCAAATTCCAGCACCAATTTACAATTACTCCAATTATATATTTGACTTACCTCCTTTAGCCCAGTAAGTGTGTCTCGATTGGAGATATCATAGGCTAGAACGACCAAGTCAGGACGAAGGCTTGTCCAATGCTGGTTTGGGTTGGATGTGTCGTTAAGTTCTAGAGTGAATGTTTTTTTTGCGAATCGGATGTCGTAAATGAAAGGCTGATCACTATCTCGTAATAGTTCAATGGTATTTGAGTCATTATTAGAGGTCCCTGATGGGGATGACCTTCCACTCTTTAGGCGACTGAATCATGTTAGCATGTTCCCATATAACGTCATATATATAGCCCAGGAGATTAGCTTCTAGGCTGCAGTCCGTCGGATGACTAGGTACTCACGCTAAGAATGTTGATTTCCCACATCCTTCATCTCCGAGTAGAAGTAAGGAGACTGGTTTGTTACCGTCTGTGTGAGGATCTGCCTCAGCCATGCTGGAATGGCTGTTGATTCGATTTATGCGCAACTGTCCAGGTATCGGTCAACTTGCACTCTTCGGCCGGTCAATTAACAAGTGTATTGCAGAGAATTGTCTCAGTTGTGAATGTAGGACAGTCTATATAAGTACCTTCGCCGCTTGTATTTGATTTCAGAGAATGAATACTTTGGGTGATCAAGTTCGGTGCTTGGCGTTCCAACACAGTTGTTGATTTATATATATATTAATTCGCTAGTCCTAACCTCATGTCATTTATGCTTATTAAAACTTTATATTGCCTTATTAATGATTTAAAAAGCCCATATAGTAATTTATTTACAGATAAATTATCATAGTACAGTGATATACATTGAATACATACAGCTATGACCATAAAGTGCATGTAATTACACCTTCGTACAGGGACTCAATACTAAAAATACACCAAACAGCGCCTCCGCGCAACTTTTTCAATTTCGATTCCCGCCGGTTAAACGTCCGCACCAATCCAATCCTTGACTCAGTCGCTGATGTGGTATGTGGAGAGTGTCTGCTAGACTCTTTCCACTGAGTTGCAACATACAGCACGCTCTCAGGCAAGCACGATACCTGTGCCAATCTCGCACTCTCACATCCCAAACCATGGAGGACACTAAAAGCAAGGGCCAACCCGACTACTCGGCCTGGAGTAATTCCAGCCTGATCGCGCGCATAACAGAGTTAGAGCGCCAGCTGTCCTCTAAGACGACAGAGTTCACAGCGCCAACCGAAGAATCGTTGCAGACACCCTGCTCTTCTTCCGCGCCCATCGCTACCGACGTCCACGAGGCTGCGATTCCTCTTACCGAGCCCTTCAATCCTTCTACGAAGCGACCACACTCTCCTCAAGATAGCGACAGTACCCCAGTGCTTGCGCCGACGCGGCTTGTCAAAGCCCCGAAACCTCCAAGACCCGAGCGCAGCTTCGACCCCTCCAAATACACAACGCGGTTTATTGCGCTCAAGTTCGCATATCTGGGACAGGCATACAATGGGCTCGAACATACAAACGGCAATACCACGCCTCTGCCTACCGTTGAAGAGATTATGTGGAAGGCATTGCGGCGTACAAAACTCATCTCCCCCGGCACCACCTCTGATCTTGAGCCGACCGAAAGAGGGGAGCGCGTCCCCATGCGCCCCTACCACCTTTATTGGGATGGATGCGATTACTCCAAAGCAGGTCGTACCGATAAGGGCGTGAGCGCTTTTGGGCAGGTTATTGGACTGCGGGTCCGCAGTCAACGACCCATGCCCAAGACTCCCACCGAGGGCGAGGATGCGATGCGCGTTGACTCGGGATCTACTGAAAAGGAGTGGGATGATGTAGCCGATGAGATGAACTATATCAATGTTCTAAACAGGGTGCTTCCGGAAGACATCCGGGTCCTGGCTTGGTGTCCTAACCCGCCGCCTGGTTTCGATGCCCGCTTCTCCTGCCGTGAACGTCGGTACAAGTACTTCTTCACCAACCCCGCGTTCGCTCCCACACCCGGGCCCCTTGGGTTCCAGAACCGCGCAGAGAACGGCAATGGCCCGCGTGCTGAGTTCCGTGAGGGCTGGCTCGACATTGAGGCTATGCGCGAGGCAGCTAAGCATTTCGAGGGTATGCATGACTTCCGGAATTTCTGCAAGTTGGACACCAACAAGCAGATTGATAATTTCGAACGCATTATCCTTCACTCTAGTATCGAAGCCGTCAATCCCAAGGTCAACCCCGTGGGGTATGTTGGCCAACCTGGATTCCAGGCCAAAGAGGGTTGTGTGCCCGAACCGGATTTGACGACTCCCAATACGGTTTCTCAAAGTATCCCTCAGGTCTACTCGTTTAACCTCCACGGTTCTGCCTTCTTGTGGCACCAGGTGCGCCACATGGTTGCAATTCTGTTCCTAGTCGGACAGGGATTCGAGTCCCCATCTATCGTCCCTGAACTGCTGGACATTACCAAGAATCCACAAAAGCCAATATATGCAATGGCTGATGATGCTCCGCTGGTGCTTTGGGACTGCATTTTCCCCGATCTGAATTCCGACAGTCGCCAGGATTCCTTGAACTGGGTCTATGCTGGTGACAATGCTGCAAACTGCAAGGGAACCGCCAAGGGTGATAGCAAATTCGGGCTGCGGGGTACCGTTGAAAGTTTGTGGGCCGTTTGGAGAAAGCGAAAGATAGATGAGATTCTAGCGGGTGCTCTGCTAGACTTGACTGTCAGCCAGGGTGACCAGAACGTGGAAAATCTTGACAAACAGTGGCAAAAGGCGGGTTATTCCAAAAGAGGACACAGAGGTGCCAAGGTCTGGTGTGGTGGAAACGATACTGTTGTTGGCGGGAAATACATCCGTGTCGACCAGAAGGGTAAGATGGAGACCGTGGAAGTTCAAAATGCCAAGGGACTTCTCACAAAGCAGCGAAGACTAGCAAGGATGGAGGGTGCACAAGCGGCATCGGAATGAATCTCGCTGTATATAATTGATAAAGCATCGAGCCTCGGGCTTGAGCAAGGTAGGCTTTTGCACGAGCAAAAATTTCTTGAGGCAAGAGACTGTGGGTATGTCATGACTTCGCATCGTAAAGACACCGTCGAGAACCTCTCCAAACCTGCTCTAAGATCTCTCGCCTGGGCAACATGTGCTAGTCGCAAAATTAGGTCTGAGAGTATAACGCTGAGGATATTACATACCGGGAAGACCACTAGGGCATCAAGCTCGCCTTCAACAATGACCGCCAAATAGAAGCGGACTTCGAAGCCCTTGAAGGCTTCGTGAATCACAATATCCTGGATTTGCGTCGTAGGAATGAACCTCGTTGAGGCAGTAGAAAGATATGTCGAGGAAGATGTCGAGGTCTGGATTCCGAAACCTCGAATAACCAAGAGCGATTCCTCTGTCGAACAATCAGCCATGAACAGCAATATAGCCAACTCTTCCTTCTCAACCTACCGATATGACCTCTTCTGAAAACACCGTATATCACCAATGCACCAGCCACGGCAATTCCCAGTGGATTGTATGAATCCACCAAGCGACACAGTTTGGATCCGAGCGGGCTCGACCAGAGGGCTGGCCAGCTTATCACCCTCCCATCTTCTTGGAAGAAGAGGTTTCGGACACGCGCGATGCCGACACCAATAACACAGAAAAATAAAACCGTACGCAGAAGTACTTGGAGACCGAATATTATTTTGGCGGGGGAACTTGACTGCTGGGGCGCATTCGATACGGTAAAGGAGACGGTCGTCGGAGAGGGACGCTGAACTTCTAGTCGGCCTCGCATTTTGGGTATGGAGGAGTCAGGTGAAAGAAATAACAGAGCCAGAATCAGTTGCCAATTTGCATTATAGCCTGTCTATTCAAGATGCAGATCAAAAGTGCGGAGAAATTCAAACGTACTTTAGACAGGAGAGCTCTTGATGTGAATAAACACGCTAATACAAATTTGGACTAGCGTACTCCACTGGGCAGCTGCGTTTCATCACGTGCCTTATAGCTTCGTTTAGATTACATCTGGGTTGTCAGGCACCCACGCAACTTCCATATTTCCATCCATAGTCATGGCTGACCGATCGCGAAGCAGGTCTCCTGGCCCGCGCGGAAACACTGATAGAGAGCGCCCTAGAAAGACCGGAGGCTTTCGATGGAAGGACACAAGCCGCACTGGCGATTCCCGCGGCGATGATCGCAGATTAGAGCGCGGATACCGAGACCGACCACGATCACCACGACGCGACCGAGAGGGTGACCGATCTGGAGATAGACCGAGAGGTGGTGACCGCGACCGGGGCCAACAACGTGCCGATCGAGATGCGCCGCGCGAAGACGGGGAAAAGAAAGCGAAGAAAGAAAAGAAGAAACCGGTCGCTCCACAATCCTCAGAACCTATGATCGTGGTCCATGTCAATGATCGCCTGGGAACTAAAGCTGCGATCCCTTGTCTTGCCTCAGATCCGATCAGTATGTCTCCCTTTTACTATTGACCGCCACCAGTGTGCTAATGTTCTACGCAGAGCTATTCAAGGCCCAAGTGGCAGCTCGAATCGGCCGTGAACCCCACGAAATCCTTCTCAAACGTCAGGGCGAACGCCCTTTCAAAGATCAGCTTACACTGGAGGATTATGGAGTGAGCAACGGAGTTCAACTTGACTTGTGAGCCTCAAACCCGCTTTCGGATACCGGAACTGTCATACTAATTATATTATAGGGAGGTCGGAACGGGCGAATGACGGATTCTCGGAGCAAACTGCACGGTGGGAGACTTATGCCAAGCTCTTTTATGTTTCTCTTTTCTTAGTACATACCATCTCGGGGACCGGAGCATAGGAGTCATGAATATGTTTCTTTTTTCTTGCTTTTTCTTCGAGATTTCCAAAGCGACCGGGGGAATTGAACCAAATCATGTATATCTATGGCCGGGAGCAAATGGAGAATCCGAAGCAGTAAACCTGCTGACCATTTACTGCGTTCCTGTCTGTCCAGAAGCAGGGCCTTTTTTTGCGGGGCCTCGTCACGACATGCGCTTTACCCAATCCGGGTCATTTGCCACCTGAGGCACCAGCCACAGGTCCGCTCCACTCTAAAGAGGCTTTTTTCACATCGCGGGACTCACATGGTCGGTTTTTTTTTTTTCTTGGTTTCATGTCTCCGTCTCTCGAAGTGTCAATTCTTCCTCCGCCATGAGGTAGCATTTGTTTTCTTCATCTCAAGAATCCCTATACTTTTGTTTTTTCTTTATTTTTTTTTACTGCCTTGACTGCTCACCGAGATCGCCCCCCAGATTTTCTTCCCCCTCCATCCGATCCCTCCAAACTTGATTTCCTTCAGATCGAGCGCCCTTCTTCTTGATCCCTCTTACTCCAGTCCTGGCGATATCCACAAAAGCCAACACGATGGTTCGCAATCTTGTCGTCATCGGAGGCAACTCCCACCCTCAGTTGACTCAGAGCATTTGCAATGTTCTCGGCATTCCTCCCGCGGAGGTTCTGCTCTCAAAATTCGCCGTGGGGGAGACTCGGGTTGAAATCCAAGAGTCCGTCCGTGAAAAGGATGTCTATATTATTCAATCCGGCGGCGGTAAAGTCAACGACCACCTGCTAGAGCTTCTCATCACCATTTCCGCCTGCAAGACTGCTTCGGCCCGGCGGGTCACCGCTGTACTCCCTCTTTTCCCTTACTCTCGTCAGAGTGATATTCCTTATGACAAGGCCGGTGCTCCTCTCGTCAAGGCATCTGTGGGGGGCAAACCCAGCAATGGCTACACATTCGAGAGCACCCCTTCAACCCCGGGTCCTGGTGGAAGAACTGAAGGCCTGGGCTTGGTGAATGGAATTGAAAGCCTCCAGAAGGGTCTTGCCAAAGCTCAGATTGAGGACAGCACTGGCAGCCCTGTGAAGCGGCGGGGCAACGGCCTGCCTCGCAGCGATACGACAGATTCCCTTAAGTCTTTGACCAACGGCACCGATGACGCAGCGAGCACCTCCTCCAAGATCACTTCCTTCCAGCCGCGTCCTGGCTACAAACAGTGGGTTGCACAGGCCGGCACACTGGTTGCGGACCTGCTCACCTGCGCCGGCGCCGATCACATCATCACCATGGATTTGCACGACCCGCAGTACCAGGGATTCTTTGATATCCCCGTCGACAACCTATACGGCCGACCTCTTCTGAAGAGCTATATTCAGCACAATATCCCAAATTACAAGCAGGCTGTCATTGTCAGCCCCGATGCTGGAGGTGCCAAGCGCGCTACGGCAATCGCTGATCAAATGGGCATGGAGTTTGCCCTGATCCACAAGGTAGGCAAATTGAGCTCTTCAATTTTCCTGTTACTCTAACAATTTCTAGGAGCGCCGCCCCACCAAAATCACCGACCGCCAGAATGCCACCATGATGTTGGTCGGCGATGTCCGTGATCGGATAACTATTCTGATTGATGATCTGGCGGATACCTCGAATACGATTACTCGTGCTGCCAAGTTACTCAAGAAAGAAGGCGCATCTCAGGTATATGCCCTTCTCACCCATGGTATCTTGAGCGGCGACGCTATCGAGCGTATCAACGCCAGTGCTCTTGACAAGGTTGTTGTGACCAACAGCGTGGATCAAGTTGAGCACTTGCGCCGTTGCCCAAAACTGGAGGTTCTGGAAGTCGGCCACGTTTTCGGCGAGGTGAGTTCCATACATCCGGCTATTCCGAACATTTACTGACGTATACCCAGGCCATCCGCCGTGTGCACCATGGTGAAAGTATCAGTGTTCTCTTCCAGTATGACTGATCGCTGCCTAAACTTTTTTTTTCCTTTTCTCCGATATCCTAAAATTTCCACGTTTTCTCTACGACCCCCACAACCTCAATTCCCCTTGCCATAGATCCAGGCTCGCAGTAGACTTGGTACACTGGATTTGTTCTGGTATTTCTGTCATTTCTTTTTTTCCTGTCGCGTGCTCTCATCTGGCTTTGGCTGGCTTTTCTTGCTTTTTCGAATTTCCTGTGATACTATCTACCTCTGCCACACCCTTTGCCATCTGCACATATGAACAATGAATGTTGAATCGAAATGGGGAATTTCTTTTTCAGCATGCATGTAATCGCCGGTCTGGGACTAGACTATCAATGTGGCTGGTCTGTATACTTCATGGAGACGTAAGACTTTCCAATATTGAAGCTCATGCATGTCGGTCTGTGCTTGATTGATCAGTCTCTATCCTTGCATATTACAACGGGTATTGTCTAGCACTCGAACCCTTTCCCTTTCCATTTTGCTACTCACCTATTGCATTCAGAGTACATGATTTCATGGACCCCTAAACATCCGAAGAGTGCAGTCAACCAGTCACTTTCACGAATTGAGAGAGCAACGTGGAGTCACTACTACCAGACAGTATTGATATCCCGGGTCGTGTCATATTGGTCTAAAAGAAAATACTGGACAAAGATACTAACCAACAGTTCCCTTGGCCGCATATGGGACCGTGAGCCGTCATTGGCAGGTTATTATTGCAGGGTGCATATTTCCTACCATCCGTGGACGTGAACACTAACTACAACATACTAAGCGACTAGCGGAATTTGCGCAGCTAGAATAAATGATACGCGGAAAGTCATATATTCGGAATATTCATTTGCTCGAGTTCATCATATGATGATAAAGATGGATGCTTTCTCGTGTCTCATCATAAGTGCTTTGAAAGCCCAATGCACAGTATACCCGTGTACCTCCCATGGCAAAATACTGCGCACCATGTTCATCACTAGGCAACTGAGAGCTCCTGAACTTCGGTGAACTTCATTGCTCTCACATTCTGAGAGTAGCCGAGCAAGCGAAAGACCGCTGAGAGGAATGTGCCAGTTGATAAATTGAAATGCATAGCCTAGCCCTGCTGAATCGCAATCCAGGCTTACAGTCCTTCGGGTGTATGCCATTCGCAACTGCAAATCTTCGATGATCTTCAACACCATCACTTGTACCGCCATGTCTCCTTAGTCCTGTCTTGTCTGTACGTCGATAGATCCTAATGCAGTTGTTCGTTGAGTATAAGACAAAGTCACACGGTCTCTATATGTAGTTACGGTTAGCCACACCTTCTACCCCTTCCTTTTGTAGTTCACTCACTTATTCTCGCAGCTCTGCTTTCATCTCCCTCGTTGGCGGCATTGTGTAGAGCATACATAACTTTCTTAACTGGCCATAGGTGCTGTTCGTAGTATAGACCCTTTCGAATAGTATGTGGAGGCTTGCCATACATATATAGGATATAACTATATAAGGATGTCTCATCATCACTTTAAGACACGAAATGCCCATCAGGTCAGCAGATCGGCACCGAAACAGGATCGACACAAGAACGACTCACCTGTGCCACATGCGGACTCCTCAGACAGTGGGAATGACGGTTATCCTTCTCAAAAGGGTCTATCCCAGCGGTCAAGTCATCAACCACACCCACAGACTTGGAGTCCCAATCAAACCCGACGTCTTCATCATCATCGGCGTCTAAGGGAACACCACACGTCCCCGTTTTATTCAACCAGAAAAACCGAGCCCAGGAGAGACAGGAAAGCACCTTCTGTCGATGGCCTATAATACCGGCATGGATCTAGAGAGACAGTCGAGATTAGCATGATGCACCACAGAGGTGATGACGAGTCACGGGAGTAGAGCCTCTACCTAATCGATTTGTTGGTTCTTATAACTTGTGGCATGTCGAGCAGGGTATTACCTGGAAATGTAAGGTGATAGATGATATATGAGGGGTCGACACTTGAGGGTTGAGGTTGGTGGAAGATATGTTAATTAAGGAGATATAGTTGAAGGTCAAACTTGGAAGTAGAGTGGAGGGATGACATTTATATACTGAGGTAGCAGATCGTTCTAGAAGATTGCAGGTTTGTTTTGTAGCAAAACAATGCTGGAATCCTTGCACAAGTTCTTTGTATCCCGAATCTTGTGGCCCGCAACACTAGAGGGAAATGAATGCCACAGAGAGGTCTATAAACTGCATAGGGTTTACCAAGAAGGTCCGAGGGTTGCAACATTGCAAAGTGGTCAGCTATATCAACTGGCCGCTGCCACTTTGCAACTTGCTTCTTCTTTCTTTCTCCATCTTCCTTATTCAGTTGAATGTAGTCTTTCTTGTTCAAGATCGATCTGGCGCTTCACAATCAATTTATGATGATTCATTCGATCAATTTATCTGGTCTGTCAATTGAAGCTATTTAGAGATTGCCTGATCATTTTATGACGATCTAAGGATATGGAACCCGAACGTGCCTGCCATATTTATAACTTCCACTCGTCGAGGAAGTCGCGCGGCGAAGACAACATTGACGATGATAAACCTAGAGTGGCCGATGATCGAGCTAGTTATTTCACCCTCGCCTACCAATTTCTCTATATCTACCATGATCTATCTAAACACTTTACCGATGAATCTATCATAGGGTTTGGCCTCATTTTCTATGTAGATACTAGAGTAGTAGTGGGTTATATCGATTTGGATCCGCAGCGATTCTCCGGGCCGTGCCATGCCCTAATACACATTCACTTCAGCTATCATCCTTGAAGAAAACTATAATCATTAATCTATTATTGCAAAGAGACGAATATATTCTGCAGAATCTATTGGCTTGAGATAGCCCGTTTAGGAGGCAACTATCTATGCGGAGTACAGTATGTATCCTATGATATCATAAGGAGAGATCGTCAATCTTATCTTTTATTCCTCAAGCTAAACTATAACTGTACACCTAAGTCTGTCTAATCTGGACTTGATTGGTCCCGATGTAACTTCGGTCTGTACTTTCTTTTTAGTGTCATTTTTCGGGGAGCTGTGGGATCTCTCCGACTCTCTGTTCTTACATGGATATGTATGATCTAGTTATGTCTTTCCTTGACATCAAAGGTTGGAAAGAGGTTTTGCTTGTCTTTTTCTTTTCTCTCGCCCTTGCTTCTGCGATCATCCGTTGGAATTCCTCATCTCATCATCCAGATTTCCTCTAGACATGGCACCCATAGAATCGAAAACCACGGTGGCCGTCTCAGATGAGGAGGAAGCAGTTGGACAGTTGGATCAAGGACTTCCTGCTTGGACGGTCGTCTTTGGAGCATGGTGCTGCCTTTTTTGCGCTTTTGGCTGGGTGAATGGTGAGTCCTCCCATACCTATTTCTTATGCCACCGATAACCTGACACACTTCGCTCCAGCCATTGGCATTTTCCAAGAGCACTACCAGAATAATCAATTACAGTCCTATTCAGCGTCCAGCATCTCCTGGATTTTATCTTTGGAGCCATTTGTACTCTTTGCGACTGGAATTGTCATTGGAAGAGTGAGTCTAGCCCCATCATGCCTGGAGGTATACATGTTAACCTTCTTCAGGTATTCGATAATTATGGCCCAAAATGGCTTCTTCTTATTGGAACATGTCTTCACGTCTTTGGTATTATGATGATCTCCATATCGACGGAGTACTACCAATTCTTGCTAGCCCAGGGAATCTGCAGTCCTCTTGGTGCAAGCTTTGTCTTTTTGTCCGCACTCTCCTGTACCGCGACATGGTTCGAGAAACGACGTGCCTTGGCCTTTGGAATAGTTTCCAGCGGCTCATCACTGGGTGGCGTTGTATTCCCAAGCATGTTATCTCGACTTTTGCCTAGTATTGGGTTCGGATGGTCACTGCGTATCTCTGGATTCATCATCCTCACACTCCTGGTCACTGCCAACTTGACCGTCCGATCGAGAATAAGGAATGTTCCACGGCCAGTGAAACTGAATGATTATACGAGTCCATTTTCCGAGCTACCGTTTGTCTTGCTTGTGCTGGCATCCTGCTGTGGATTCTTCGCCATGTTCGTGCCAATCAGTTACATTGTCGTCGAAGCTCAGGAGGACGGTGTCAACGGCGACCTAGCCGGGTACTTGTCAACTATACTTAATGCTGCCAGGTAAGTATTACTACTGTCTATCTTGACTTGACGAGAAGGGCCATTGTGCTAACCTAGTCTGCAGTCTCCCTGGTCGAATCCTACCAGGCTACCTAGGAGACAAACTAGGCCGATTCAACGTCATGATTGCCATGTGCTCATTATCCGCCATTGTGATCCTAGCCTTATGGCTTCCAGGTACCCTTCTTGCCCCAGGCAGTGCGGCCATCTATATTGTATTTAGCATGCTATATGGATTTGCATCGGGTGCATTTGTCGGTATGGTACCGGCCCTGCTAGGCCAGATCTCGCCCGACGTGACCAAGATTGGTGTTCGTCAGGGCGTTTTATTTACTTGCATCAGTATTGCATCGCTCACAGGAAGTCCCATTGCTGGAGCCATCTTGAGTAGACAAAACGGGACGTATTGGGGGTTACAGGTCTTTTCGGGTGCAATGATGGTGGCAAGTGTATTCTTCTTCATTGCGGCAAGAGCGATACTTGCAGGACTGTCTATCGCAAAAAGGGTTTAATCGGAGACCTTTATACATATCCATAACGGATCTCTTACTAGCATAATTAGGGCTTACTGCGCTGGACTGGCAAGTATTATTAAACTTGAGCATCCCATCTATTCAAGTAGGAAAGCCCGCCGTATACCAACAAAATAAATATCTGTATTTTGTTCTTCTATGCTACAAGGATAAGGTCAAGCACATGCCAAACGCCTCATACGAATGAGGAAAAAAAGCAACACAGCCGAAATTAAAGATGACCGGATTCTCCCGATCAAGGAAAAGAGGTCGATGCGCTCACGTTAAAGAACAAACTGGGTACTCGATACAACGAAAAGCGGTTGGCAACCAAAGCAAAATGCCAGCCAGGGAGATGGGTAAGTACAAAGAGGCAGGAAAACAGAAAATCACAGAGTGCCCGAGTCGATTTTAGAAAACGGAGATGAAGTTTCCGATTCTCTCCTTCTGGTTCTGAGCAATGCATTCCGCTATCCAGGTAATGTTGCGAATTTCCTGGGAGATATTAGTTTCATACTCTTAAAATCAGAGAGATTGATTCTAAGAGGCTTACCTGCTCCTTCAGCTTCATCCAGGCGTACACCACAGCTGGGGTGAATTGACGGGTGAAAACCAGCTTAGACATATCCATCTCCTTTTGATAGAAAAGATCTTCTAAACTCTTCCCGTCTGCCGGACCTCCGCCCATACCACCGAGACCGCCACCGCCTTGGCTCATGCCCACAGCATCGAAGAATGCTTTGTAATCGGCCACAGCGCTTACAGCCAATGCCACACCCTCGACATCCTCTGCGCGGGAAAGCATGAGGCTGCCCTCTGGGTAGAGCTTGCCGAACTCCGGGTACAATTTCCTCCGCTCGAGCTTGGACAGCTCGGTGCCAAAGGAGTTGAGAGTAATATTGATAGCGCGGCGGTCCGCCTCGAACTGCAGAATCTCCGCCATGACATCCTGTGTTGGTGTCCCGCTGAAGTCTGGGTGGGTATTGATGAAGTTGTAAAAGTCCTCCAAGTAGTTCTTGTAGAGGGTGTTGCGAACGATCTCGATGTTCAGCTCGTCTAAGTCCTGGTGGCTCAGACTGCCCTTGAAGTAGGCGGCCAGTGGCGTCTCGATCAGTACCGAGTTGTACAGTTCCTCGATATTTGTCGCAACACACAGCACAGGAAGTGTCTCAAACCATCCCAGTGGGTGGCATCGCTCCAAAAGTTCCCGGGTGTCTCGTTCATGCAGAGTGCCTGTGATCAACAGGGCAATGTTGTCGATCATATATCCGTATGTCATATATTCGAGAAACTTGGCAGATGAGCCTGTCGCTTGTGCGACCAGGTACTTGAATTCAGCCACCAGTTTATCGGTCATGCGGCTCGCCAGATCGGACGTGGAGGGGTTGGGGGAAAGAGAGGCAAGGACGTCGCCATATGAGGGAGCAAGCTGAAGCTTGACATCTATTGGACGAGATTGTCAGAATCAATATGCAGTGGTATATTCTACGACAGAGTCAGCGGAATCAATGAAGCGTACCGTCAATTGTCTCGCATTGAATGAGGTTGGAATAGTTCTGGCCGGTCAACAGGCTGTTCCGATAGCCGCGAACAATGCCCTCAACGTATCTAAGAGAGTCAACAACGGGCGCTATTCGGACCAAGCAAAGATATAGACCACATACCCGCCGTTAATATTAAAGAATAGGCCCTCCATGGTGAATGTGGAGAAGATGATTGGAGAGACCCAGCTGTAGCTCTATCCGTCCAGGACACGCATATGGCTTAGTCATGCACCTAGCCACACGGCTAAGCCACTCGTGGCACCCGCTTTTCAACTTTTTTTCTTCCGTGCAAATTTAGATTCAATTTCTCCAACGACACCGGTGGCCGACACGCCCTACGCTAATTATTTTTTTCGACATTTCCTCGGCTCGGTTTATCGTTCGCTTTGACTTGTTTATTCTTTTCTGTTCTTTTTCGATTATAAACGCCGTGGCCGCGCACCATGACGCTTTTCATCCTCACTGAGACCAGCGCGGGCTATGCCCTGCTGAAGGCCAAGGACAAGAAGCTCCTCAAGCGTGATGATATCGCCGAGGAGGCCTCTACTGCGGAGGGTGTCTCCAATCTGTACGTCAATTGTGTCTTCCAATCCTACCAAATAAAAAAATTTGAGTGGGAATGAACCAACTCTGAAGAGTCGCAAAAATTTTGTTATCGGCGACAATGGCACTAACAAAACCTCTTTAGTCTTAAGCTGAAGAGCTTCCAGAAGTTTGACAGCGCTGCTTCAGCTCTGGAGGAGGCTGCCTCCATCATGGAGGGCAAGGTCACCCCCCGCCTGGCCTCGCTTCTTGACAGCATCAAGGATGAGAAGAAGGTGTCCCTCGCCGTTGCCGATACCAAGCTCGGTAGGTCAATCTTCTAAAGGTTCTTCCTACGGGATGTATGCTGACTGTGATCGTGAATAGGAAACTCCATCAGCAAGCTTCCCGGTCTTGACATCCAATTGATTGCTGACTCCACCACCAACGATATCTTCCGTGCCATTCGTGAGCACCTCACAACCCTCATTCCCGGTCTTGCCCCCAGTGATATGTCTACCATGTCCCTTGGTCTGTCCCACTCTCTCGCCCGTCACAAGCTCAAGTTCTCGCCCGACAAGATCGATACTATGATCGTCCAGGCCATTGGTCTTCTCGATGATCTTGACAAGGAGCTGAACACCTACGCTATGCGTGTTAAGGAATGGTACGGATGGCACTTCCCCGAGCTGGCTAAGATCCTCAACGACAACATTGCCTACGCCAAGCTCGTTCTGAAGATGGGTATGCGCTCCAACTGGGACTCCGCTGATCTTGCTGAGATCCTCCCCGAGGAGATCGAGGGTGCCGTCAAGGCTGCTGCCGACCGCTCCATGGGTACCGAGATCAGCCCCGAGGATCTGGAGAACATCCAGGCTCTTGCCGAGCAGGTCGTTGGCTTCTACGAGTACCGCTCCCAACTTGCTAGCTACCTTACTTCCCGCATGAACGCCATCGCACCCAATTTGACTGCCCTTGTCGGTGATCTTGTTGGTGCCCGTCTTATTGCCCACGCTGGTTCCCTTACCAGCTTGTCTAAGAGCCCCGCCAGTACCATCCAGATTCTGGGTGCCGAGAAGGCCCTTTTCCGTGCCCTCAAGACTAAGCACGATACTCCCAAGTACGGTCTGATCTACCACGCTTCTTTGATCGGCCAGGCCACCGGCCGCAACAAGGGAAAGATGGCCCGTATCCTCGCCGCCAAGGCCTCTCTTGGTATCCGTGTCGACTCCCTCACCGAGTGGGCTGACGATGCCACCGAGGAGGAGAAATGTGCTCTCGGTACCGAGGCCCGCTTCAACCTTGAGCGCAAGCTTGCTGGTATGGAGGGCAAGCCCATTAAGCCCCGTGGTGTGGCCATTGCTCCCAACGGTGTTCAGGCCGAGAAGTTCGACTTGAAGGAGGCCCGCAAGTACAATCCTGATGCTGATGCCTTGGCCTCCGAGGAGCCTGCCGCTGTTCAGAAGTCCAAGAAGGAGAAGAAGAAGCTTGTAGAGGAGGTTGAGGATGAGGAGATGGCCGATGCCGACTCTGATAAGGAGGCTGAGGATTCTGATGAGTCCGAGGATGAGGCACCCAAGAAGAAGTCCAAGAAGAGCGACATTGAGGAATTGGCTGCTAAGGCTGGTCTCAGCGTCAAGCGATACGAGCGGAAGCTCGAGCGTGGCGAGATCACTTTTGATAAAGCGGGCAATCCCACTTCAATCAGCAAGAAGGACTTGAAGAAGTCCAAGAAGGATGCCAAGAAGGCTAGCAAGGACGATGGCAAGAAGCGCAAGCGTTCCGAAGACGAGGATGAGAAGAAGAAGAAGAAGAAGTCCAAGGGAGAGTAAGCGTATGTTTTCAAAAGTTTGTGCAATGTGACCGGATGGCTTTCCTGGGATCTGTATGATATCACACTTTTTCATTTCTGTTCTTTTTTTTTTGCAATCTTCCTGTTGCTCGCATGTTTTGGAGCATTTTGAGGTTGATCTACCGGTCTTTCACTGGCGCAGAGGGTGCTCGTTAGGAACAAGGCAGTACAGTTTTAGCTGGAATAATCTGTTCATACTTCACAACTGGATCGTAAACCTGTAGGCTATGTATCGCATAATGTAGTCCCAACTAACTCCATATGTATGTTTCCGTCTCATCTCCGTTGCTTTGCCTCGTATACTTCGAGATATGCAGGTAGATAAAGACACCGCCCAGTTTCTGCCGGCAGTTCGAACAATTTTCCTTTCTCAGTCCAATCACCCAGTTGCGCCAGTCTATCTTGCCACATTCAACACACAAAATGAGGGTATGTTCTATTTCACTTGAAGCTCGGGATTTCTCCTAACACAATGATCTAGATCATTGACCCTCAAACCGCCGTCCTGACCAATGTTGAGGTCCTGGCCTATCTAACCTCCAATCCACCCCGCCGACCACCGCCAAATTCGGGGAACTGGGCACCAAGTCCAGATCTCAGAGACCATAATACAGTGGTCAAAGAAGTGAGCAACCCTATGCTGTCCTTCTCATCGGTATACAGGGTGTTATGGCCTAATTCAACTACACCATGAGCCCGACCGTGAAGCGCAGTCGACCGCAAACCAGACACCAAGAGACCAACGATAGAAGAAAAAACGGCTGATAAACTCCCAGATTCACAACTATGCAAGCCGTCTATCCCCCCACCTCCTACGATACCCCCGCTACACACCCCGCCCTTCCTCCTCCCAGTCGAAAACACAGTCGCAAGCCGCAATGACTGGCACGCTGCGAACCTCAAATTCAGCAAACCCAGAGGCGGATACTAATTCCATGCCGCCACCAATCCCCTCCGCAGAAATAACACCCATGGACACAGCCCTCCGAGAATTAGTAGCCCGTCTACAGCCATACGGACTGACCAAAGCCGAGGTCGTTATGATTCTAAATCTCGGGGTGGGACTGAGCGGCAATCCTGCTACTGAGGAAGCTAGAGAGGAAGGCGCTAATGGAGAGGAATCAATGGAAGTGGATGGGGAAGGGGAGGGAGAGGCCGAGGAGGATGATTACACTGCGGTGGTATTGATGGACGGTGTTATTGAAGAACGGGAGCTCAGACTGTCTGATGAAGATGTTAAGGCTATTTTGGCTATTATCAAGGAAACCCTTACGGCGGATTATGAAAACGTGAAAGGGTGAGAAGTCGGATGTTTTATCATAGATGTTTGATATCAAGAACCAAAAAAGGGACCAGTGTGCTTCTTCAAACTACTGTCTTTTGTTGTACATCCACGATCAACCGAGCATTATATTTGCCTGGAATTACCCATCTCAAGCTATTATATGTAGCGCTTTGGCTAGTAACTAATCAATCAGGCCTTTTTGGACTCTATGTATGTATCCAGGCCTAGATCTTGGTATGCTATATCCTGACCTACAACCATGGAAGACCTATACCAAAATTAGAAACAATAGAGTTATTCTCAATGTCACTATCCGTCAAAGACCTTCTAGCCGTGGATGAGGCAATTTAGCTTTCTATTTAAAGCGCCGGGTCAAGCAGTCATTATATGATCATACCTGGGCACATACACAAACCATCACCATATAGTATCAAAATCCTTCATCTACAGAATCACATCCAAAACCATGCTCACAAATACATCTCTGCTCATTAAAAACATCGAGGTCATCTGCAATCTGGAGTACGTTGTCAATGACAATGAGCTCAGGACTGTGCCTCCTGTTCCTATACCTAGCCAACTGACAAGAGAGGTAACATCTCATTTCGCTTACTTGGATTTATCGAAATTTGATCGTGAGGTTCCTGCATCTGCAGCCTATCCACATTCTACCTTTACCTCCAGCCTCCTTGTTCTCGCTCGTGATATCGTTCTGTCTGATCTCCCTGAGGCTGCTCGGTTCCTCGGCATCAAGATCAAACACAAATGGAGCTACGGTCCTGTGCTTTTGGATAAAAAGAAGCACACATTGGTTGGAGAACTAGACTATGGGATCTGGTACGGCGATATGGAGGATCTCGCGCTGATTGCTGCTGTGGTTAGAACTAAACCTGGCGAAGTGCAAAAGGGTATAGCCCAAACCCTAGCATCTATGGGTAAGTGTCCTATAATATTTCTGTCATTGCATATTAGGGAGCTAAATCGTTCCAAGGCTGCGTTCACAGGCGTCGAAAGGATTTAAAGAAAAATGATTGCACGATCTATGGGCTAGTGACCGATGATAAAGACTTCTGGTTTTTGAAGATTTCTCATGACTCCAATGTGAGTACGTTTATATTATACATGTCTGACTGCCTCGTTAACATTTGACTAGTGGAGCGTTCATCCAGTCATGGCCCGCTGCAGTCGGGACTGTGAGAAGGTTCTGGGAATGCTGGTCTACTTCTTCGAGAAAGCCGTCATGGCTTATCCTCGCTCGAATAAATCTGGACAGCTTCACGCTCAGGAATCTGACGCTGTGGGGATCAACGACTGGGATATGTGTTCTATCGAGTAAACGTTGGCAAATAGCAAATCTATGGATAATACATTGGCAATGACTTCAATTCTATATATTATTCCGTAAGAGAGCACATTTCTATGTTGTATATGTTGTATATGTAGATCGAATAGTCTAAATAAGCCCGTTAGGAAAATAGGAAAGACTTACTGGTAGGCCACTACCTCATGTTTGCGTTCTCTCTTCTCGCTCTTTTCTCCCCTCACACTTTTTTCTCCTCTCACTTCTCTCTCACTTCTCTCTCACTTCTCTCTCACTTCTCTCTCACTTCTCCCACAGCAGTAAATCACGGTCATTGTGTTACCTCTGCCATTCTTAGGACACCACCCTTCTGTTTTCTGACATGGCGTCTATAACGACACAAGAGGTACTTCGGTATCCTAAACTTTCAGTCGAAGTCCTCTCATTCCCGGATGTTGAGCGCATCTTCCACCTCACCAGGGCAGATAACACGGACTGGGCACAGCTTCGGGCTCCATTTGAGCTTGCAGACCACTGCAGTAAGTCCAAATTGAAAGACGCTTCGCAAGATAGCTAATAATGTCTAGAAATCGTCCTGAAAATGATCGACGCTGCCATTTCTAGATCAGATGGAAGACCTGAGATGGCTGTGAAAATTCGCCTAGGTATTCTACTTGATGCTGTCCATGCTACGCCCCCGGACCCAGAGTCTCCTAATTCAACCCCAATCCCCATCTCATCCAAGTGCCCATTTCTATTCGGCCCAATTGTCTACAATGAAGTAGTGCATTGCCTCCAAGGGACCCCTGATTGGTTTCTTTGGTATGGCCCGGACGCGAAGAAAGGGAAAGAAAGCGTGGCCATCAACATGGTCATCCTCGAAACAGAGCATGGCCAATCTGCTGACGGCGTGCGCCAGACTCTTGCGTATATGAGTAAGTGATTTCTCGTCATGTCTGCCATCGTAACTAACCCTTTATTCAGGCATGATTCATACGCAACGTCGGGCTGAGGGTAAGCTTGACTCTTCAGTTTTCGGTCTTTCTACCGACAACAGCCAATTTCATTTTCTTCAACTCAATGGAGAAAGCGAAGTGAGCAGACATCCACCAGTTACGATAAGATGCATGCTTATTCTCGCCTTCTATTAGTGGTCCCGACTGGACTTGAACTATCAAAATCATCTCCAGGAGATCGTCGGAAAACTTGCCTACTTTCATAGGCACGCCTCGATCCTGTCCGCTTCTGATCGTAGTGACGATCCCAAAAAAGCGGATTCCGTATTCCACGTGGAAGACAGCGGAAGGTCTGCGGTACTGGTTGCTATTTCAAGCTGACCACCGATGTAAACCGGAAGACTATGAGCAAGATGGTATATCTGACAGTGAGGGTCATACTTTAAGTCAAATATCTATTAGGCACATGAGTGGATAGTAGACGGGTAGTAATGATGCGTGTAAACTTGACGGTGCCGCTTGCTCTATGGCACCCTCCTAATTTAACGTTAGATTCGGATTTTGAGAATAAGTTAGATAGCTATACTATGTAATGCTTACTCTCTACTGACCTAAGAAATGGTAGAAGAGTGCGCTAATTTAATAATGATTCTTCGCGTGAGTATGAAGGAAGTTATAGAAAGGGTGACCGTCTTGATATAATATAGGATATTCCGCATCGCAGGCTCACCACTCCCCGCCGTTGACGAAAAGCTGATCACCTGTCAGTTTAACAGGTGATCAGCTTTTCTGACTCGGGAGTCAGCAAATGAAGAAGAGAGAGCGATATGGGAAAAGCTCTGGCCGTTTCAAGATTCTGTGAAATGATCAAGTATCTAAACCGGTGGAGATATTACATGAGTGATTAGTCCAGATGCGAACGACAATACTTTACTTGTTCATTCTGTTGCTTTCTATATACACCAGCATCACCAAACAGCCGGCCCTTTCCAAGGTCCCATCTATGACGGTATCATACAACAGACTCTTGCGTCGCAGTCATGCAAAGCCAGTCGCATTAATGTACAGCTATTCGTGATAACAGTCGAAAGAATCCCAGCTTCGACATAAGAATAAGTCCGAATTCTCCGGTGAATCCGGCCATGTCATCCCGAAGGAGGTCATGAATAGTGGCTCACCCAATCAGGCGGTCATGAAAAAGACAAAAGCCATCTTTACTCCAAAACTCGTTAAAGTCCAGAGCCTGATAAGCTTGAAACTCGATGTGGGGGTATAGCGCAGAGCAGGCGGATGGTGACCACCGGACGGCGAGCTGAACGGGAAGTCTTAACAACCCGGCAGCCCATCGATCCATCGAGAATAATGTAGTGAGTAAAAGGGAAGGATAATAACTCAAAGTCCAGCTTTAGTCGAGTTATTGTTCCTTCCCAGCAATGAGACTTCCATACTGGTTGTAAACCGGATGATCTGGGTCACCGTTTTCCTTACCCCAGGGCCCGAGATCATCGTCAAAGAGATCTCTTTCTTGGCCATTGCACATCTCAGAAAGATTGACCCAGTTCTCATCATCGGTCCAGATCCCACCTCGACCTCCGCGCACCTCCAACCAGTCCTGCCCGCCCAGCAGCGACGACTGCGCCGCATCGAATCCGTGTGAGTCGCGGACATACTTCCGCAGCAGCGCGCGTCCCCATGGGAAAAACCACATATTCTCCCACCAGGCGTTGCGGAGCTTGGGGTCACCGTTGAGACGGGCGATTACCGGGACCGAGGCGGAGTGGACATTCGTCATTAGCGAAATATTGTGCCAGTTGCGCTCGCGCGGGTTCGGGAGCTTGTCTAGTGTGGCATTCCACACTGGGCGCTGGGTTGATTCTTTTGCGAAGCGCGACTGGATGAATGGGTTCGGGAGCGATGCAATGTCCTGCGGTAGGAGGATACGGTGTTCGCGCGGGACGCCATGTTCCATCTGCAACGCGGACATCTTGGTAATGTTGCCAAACTTGACCCACTCGACGTCCTTGCGGGACATGATCTGGTTGAAGAAGAGTTGTGACTCGTAGTCGACGCCAATGCCGTACTCGTAACGGTGACCTGTCTCCAGCCGAAGGGTAATCCCGGTGATATTTGCTGCATCAGAGATGCCTACCATCCGGTAAAGCAACTCTTTGAAGTCATTGGCTCTTCGCCGCCGCTCCAGTTCTCTGATCACCTCTTGCCGTCCGTACATCTGTGTCAAGGCCATGTGATCTCCAGACTTGTTCGTGCGCATCTCAACAAGCCGCAGGACCTCATCGTAGATCAGACGCAAGTCCGCAGCCTGACCAATGACCGCTCCGGGATTCAACCACCGGGGTCGGTTCAGGGATCCATCCGGGTAGGCATCAGTCTTCCAGCCATACACATCCGGGGGTAGAGATGAATCGGGCACGGATGCACAGCCGGGGTCGTCCAGCAACCCGGGGTAGCATATCTTGCTTGCACCAAAAATAACGCGCTGGGTGTATTTCTGTACCATCTCAGGCGCAGCCCCAGCATTTTGGCCCTCCACTTTTGCGAATCCAAACTTGTCCCGCAGCTTTCGGTTGTTCGCCCTTATGATAGCCTGGAACCGCTCCACTAGGACCTTCGGCGGCAATTGGAAAAAGGTGTCTGCGCCATCCACTATCAGCACAAAGTCGCGGTCGTGTACGGTCTTGCTGTCTCGGAGGTAGTTGCGCGCGCGCGTGATCCGGTCCACCATGCGCTCGGCCTCAGTCGCTCCGGGAGATTGATGGTCGTAACCGATTAATGTCGGCGGTGGGTATCCAAGGATCATAGCCGACGTGAGCGTTCGGCAAACTCCGCGCGAGCCCTGCGAGGCTGGAACTAGGACATGCAAGCGCGGGTTGGGTTTGTCCAGATCGTGGGGAAGGGTATCGTTAACATTAATATCGGTACGAGGATTCAGGATGACCTGGGCATCCTCCGGGCGCTGGGGAAAAGGATGGCGAGAGGGAAACTTTGTCCAAAAGTCCGGTTCAACTCGCTAGGCAGGTCAGCTTCTTTGTCATAGGTCTGGCAATAGTATGTCCGTGTAGCAGAAAGCAATCCTTACCGTTGGAGAAGACTGGAGCAGAAGAAAGAAGAAGAACAATGCAATCACCGACAAACCAATTGTTTTAAGATTTGCCCGTGACCGACGGTGGAAGACGTGCCACAGCATTGGAGTCGACTTGGTATCTTCAAAGTGTAGTGGCGCGTCCTCCGACGCCATCATGCAAAAATAAGTCGAATCAGATACTGGGTAAAGCAATATGGAACATTGTAAGAGGTCAGGAACCGCATACGCAATCACCTTGGAGGAGAGGGAGAGAGGCTGCGATCGGCGCAACGTTCCCGGTGCCACTCCCGTCACTTCGTCAGCTCGTCACCTGGTGGGCCTTTGGACCCTCAGGTAGATGATGATTCATAACCATATCTAGGGCTATGAGAATAATAGTATTGTGTGTCTCCACGTGTAAGGAACACATTCACCTAAATTAGACGTTCATGGGTCTTGGATAACTGTATATTTCTACATCTACTCTGTATATAGATGTTCCCGAAGGATCTGTATAGTCTGTGGACTATATTCCCTTCAGTTACGCTCAACCCCATAGTGTAGTTAATAGCCCTAAGTTCATAACAGCAACTGACGTCGCTCCTATCCAAAAGGTCGAGTTTATGTATATCGAGGCCGGTCACGACTACGTAATGACCTGCGTCAACTTTAACTCGACGGATATGGAAGGCGATCCCGCAAAGAGCAGTGCAAACAGCCATATACAGACAGGGAGTTATGGAGACCAGAAAATGCAAGATTGTCGTAAAAGATGCAAAATACTATACAGCGAAGACCAAGTATCAATGTAGAGAACCAGCTCAACAGACACCCAGGACCATATATGAACAACCCATTCTTTCACTCCAAATATATTTCCTCTCTCAAACGCTGTAAATTCCGAAACAGCCCACCAGCCGGTGCCCCACTGTCACTATCCCGCCGAGCCTCAAATCTGGACTTGGACTGGCCTCGCTGGTTCTGATCTGCCTGCTGCTGGTCCAAGGTGCGCCGTCGGTCCTCCACGATATTCGCCAGGCTATCCACGAACCGATTACGGGCTTTTTCCTCGGCCGATGCATTCCACACAATCGCCAGCGTCCGTAGGGCTTCAACGCGGCGATTGGCAGCATCCAGTCCGGCGTATCCTCCGCCTTCACTGTCGAGTAGCTCAGTCACTTCTGCGCGTAGCTTCTTCATCATTTCTTGGCCCTTTTCCTCGCGGTCTTGGCCTTCGGGGCCGAGGTCTGGTCCTGAGACGGAGATGAAGGATGACGAGAATGAGATCTCGGATGGGGGCAGCGGCCAGCTCATTGCGTCGCCGAAGGTCTGTACGACGTCTTCTAGGCGCGATCTCACTTGGTTCAGTGTGCGGAGGTTCGTTATGTATTCTGGGTCTGTTGGGGCGGCGGGTTTGTTCTTGTCCTCTGTTTCTGCCGACTCATCTTCGTTCGTGGGAGCATCCTCTTCTTGTTCGGCCTTGCGTCCGTCTTCTGGTGAGGGCCCCGGGACGAACTTTGTTATATCGTCGCGTAAGACTTCAGTTAGGGTTTCGGATAGCCCGATTGTCTCGCCTCGTAGGACTTCAACTTCGTAGGCCAGTCGTCCACCGCTTCGAAGGATTTCGTCGGTAAGTTGGGATAACGTGCTCGAGAGACGGATATTTTGGGCGCTAATCTGGGAGAGGAGGGATTGGACCTGCGCAGATAACTCTGTCAGGGGAACAGATCCGGGTGACCGAGAGGCGCTAGGTTGTGCTGATGCCACAGTAAGCGGTGATAGGGAGTCATTGAGGAACTCGGCCGGGTCGAAGTTTGGATCGGCGAAGTTGGGGGGAGCGGGGTTTGATGGTTTGAGGCCAGCTCGAACGGACGAGCTGTATGTTTGCGATGCCATCTGTGTGGAGCTCTGACTTAGGAGCTTTGGCAATTTATGTCCAGGTCAATTCACATTTGAAGAGAGAGCTGGCCTCCGCGGGGATCGATATCTCCACGCCCCACCGCCTTCTCTTTTCCTTATTAGGTATGGTGTCATCCCATTTTAGGTATAGCTCATGGCCGCTTTTGGTCTGAGATCTATACAGCGTAAACAAAAGAGATCAAATAGTTATCTCTACATGTCTTTACTCCGTAATTTGTTCACTAATTTAATTTCCAGGTCACTAGCTCAGCCCTAAAAGCATTCAAGACAAAAACTAGAAAATAAGCAATGGTGATTATAATGTATTAACTATGTAGCTGAGGTATAGTAGTTACATCATGGGTCCCCAAACAAGCCCCATAATGCAGGGAGACCATCCATGTATATGTACTGGCATAATACTTGATAAGCCCAAGCCAAGATCCTCATACCGCCGCTCATCGACTCCAGTATCCAATGGAAATAGCATGCGCATATTCACGTAAAACCATTCATGTCCCAGTTCCATAGACTTATGCCAGGGGCCGAGAGCCGAGCGAGAAAGGGGGTATAATTCTGACTTTGCAAATCAAGAAAACAAAAGAAAGAACAAAAGAAAAGAAAAGAAAAAAAAAACTAAGCACCAAGTTCATGTACGAACTTTGGACCGGGGGGTGCCGCGTATAGTTCAGAAGGAGTAGTGTTCGCGTTCTTGCTAGTTGATCCCGCCGGCTCGCTCCCAAGCTCGCTTGGTGTTACGTATCCCCCGCGTTGGTATGATGGGCTTGCACCGAAACCGTCCGCACCAAGCTCGCTAGGTGCGGTGCGGCTCCCTCCGAATGACGATGGTGCATCTGCTAGAGTCTTCTTTTGGTTGTTCTGACGCCGGCGGAAGAGCCAGAATACCAGAGCGACAAGTATAATGAGACCTCCTGCGCCGACACCGACGCCAACACCAATCTTTGCTCCTGTCGACATGCCGCTAGACCCCGTGCTTGGGGCTGTTGAGCTGGTCGGTGTTGATGAAGCGGTTGCGCTGCTGGTCGGAACTGATGAGGTGTCGGATGATGTTGTTGTAGTGGTGGGTGTCGTAGTGGCGGAGACAAATAGGCTTAGGTCCGAAGCTTGCAGCTCGATTTGGATTGCTTGTGCCCACATCGTGATGGGGCCGCTGACTTCTGTGCTCGTCGAGTTCTGGCGGACGGTGACACTGGTACTTGATCCACTAGGAAGACGACTTAGGCATCCGGCGAATGTCTCAGAGTCGCCTCTTGCTTCCTCGTAGTAGGAGAAGGCACTAGAGCCTCGAAGTTAATATTTAAGCCGGAGACCAGGATCTGCTGTTTTTCACTTACGAGGGACAGCAGATGGCAGCGGTTGTCGAACTTTGAGCCGCTAACTCGGCTGAGGTGTATCCACCTGGACAATAGCCTGGGCTATAGACAAGAGATGCTTGAACTCTTCCATAATGATTGTATCCAGAAGGGAAACACGCCGGATCAGCATTGTCGCTCGCCGCGGCATTTTGCAGTAGGAGACCATTTTGGACACTGTTTGCAACCTCTGGTTCGAATGTCCACGACTCCGAGCATGAGGCGGGGGCAGTGAAGATACTTGACATGGCCGTCGTCGTGAGATCTGAATCTGCTGTTGCCCTTGCAACTAATCCTGGTATAGTAGACGTCATTTGGAAGTTGTATCTGCTAGGTAGCTCTACAGAGTGTTGCGAAAGAGTAGAATGTATAGCGGGAAAACGAAAATTATCAGCCTCCGAATGGATCGAAAGGGGGTTTATTTTGGTTATTTATACCTGCAGTGCCATATCCGAATTGATCTTAGCTCCTCTCGATACATCCTAGTGCTGACTCTATATCCTCCCTCAGCCTCCAGAGTTAGTTTCCCGTCACCCTGCCTCAAACCTGGCCAAACTTTGGATTTATTTTCTATTTCTTTCGGAAATTGAGTCAGTGAATCACTTGAACATAGAACATTTACATTTGTCAATAAAGAAGTAAACTAGAAAATATCACCCACGGAAAATTCCCAAGTCTGTATCGGCAATGTCCACTCACATGCTTAGCGCCTTTACAGCACGTTTCTCTACCCAATCTACAACAGTCTATCTTGGGATTCGCCCATCATATATTTTAGTGCATAGTTAGCGTGGTATTAATCTGGTATTCTTACCGATAAATTTCATTTAATTTTAGAAAAAAACTAGGGTTCAACTTCAATTCTCGACTTTCAATTGCAAGTCTTAGTACAGGGTATATGTTAGGAACCCCTTCAGTATACTGCATCCTATACCGCAAGAGTAACTTCACAGTGCTTACTCTACAGCATGTTCTGATCCCTATGTTATATACCGGGATCATCCAGGGCTTATTCTAGCCCTTTATCTAGCGCTAACCCCATTTAATTAGGTTTAAATTACGCGAAAATAAACTACTCCATTTGGCGAACAGTCCATCCAAGGACTCAACAGTAAGCATGCCTCGGCACATTATCTTGCATAACAGTCGGGTCCTTATTGGTACGGAGACGAAAAAGCCTTCTGTCAGGGGGTAATACTGTCGGCAATAATAATCGAATGTGCTGTCTAGGATCATAGATTGTCTGATACGTAAATTTAGGCGTCCCATGCTGTCGGTTACAACGCTCCTAGTGGAGCCTCACTCGCCTGGAAAAAAACTCTATTCCTCGTGTTATATAATACCACATTCTTACAAATGTAACTAGCGAGGATCCTTCATATAAAAGTCTTCAGTGAATTGTACACTTTATGTTGTACATTTCTGGAGCTTGGTTCTTTCCTGGTTATATGCAGTACTCACCTAACATCTTACATAGGAATTGAACAAGCCGTGATATCAGTCATGATCTTAATTAACTGCTTATGCGGAAGTCGGTGGTTAATCATATTCCGAGTAAATTATCCCGTCCACTTCAACCAGTGTTAATTTCGGCTATCGCCCCGCGTGTTTTCCTGGTACATATAGAAGCGCCTCATCGCTTGTCTACCGGCATTCATACCTATTCCAGAAAATCCGCAATCCTCCGCTAAGCCTCGGGACTATGGACTATCCACACTTGGCAAGGAGCGGCTCTGGATTTTATATCCGGGCTAAGATGAACCAGTAGTAGATTATTTTGAGGATCGGAATCGGGATAGGATCAGACTCTGGGGAGAGTCCAGGGTTCTTAGTGTTCGGGGTACTACCTAAGTATATAGTTGATCGAATGAGATTGGAAGGTAGAGGGTAGTTGGGAGTAAGAAGTCAATATCATACACAAACCAAATCAAACTACATCCGAACAAATCCTATGGATCCCCTCACCGCTGTTCTAGGAATCAGACTGTTGCAATAATAGCAACTCTGGAAGATGCCATGTCTTGGCTGTAACTGAGCCTCATCGGGAACGCCATCTGCGCAAAACATCTGATCGAGTTAGGGGTGCGGAATATGTACATAATCGAGAATATCAAGGTTCATAAGTGGATTTCAGTGATTTAAACCCTTTCAGCCTTTCTACCGGCAGTTATTTTAAATGATTCAAAGGTGGCGCATCTACTATCATGTGAGACGCGTTTTTATACGTGCCTTATCGCTGCCGACTGACTGGTCCTGGTATATTAGGTGCGATTGAAAGAAAGAAACATATAGCAAGAATTGCATTGCTGCATTGCATTAGACGAAATAATTATGATAAAGCAGTCATAGGGGCATTAAAGAGACATTAAAGCAGCTGCGATAGTAGCGCAAACGAAGGTGGGTATCGTCATGGATCCAGTCACGTCCAGCCATAATACAAAAATAAGAAAATCCAGGGAGCATAGACGAATGAGCTGTCGAGGAACAGCTTCAAATGATCCACCTTCCGGAAAGGGTAAAAGGGTCATGCCTTCACGCAAGAGACTGACCAATTAAATAAAAGGAGAACGAGATGACGCAGGAAAACGCATCAAGATCGCATCTAGATGTCCTCGACAACGCGAGCGTTCACTGCATGCTGGAGTCCATTATCGTCCTGGGAGATAGTGCCGTACTTGCTAGGACCTTCGCCAAAGTTCTCGGCAGTGCTAAGCTGCGTCTGCCCGGGCTGGCCAGGGCCAGGAAGGAATATAACCTTGCTATTGGCGGTCTTAGCCATGGCCTGCATCGCCTCGAGGTAGCGGATCTGCATAGCCGGAGCGGAGGACAGGATGTCGGCAGCCTGGCGCATCAACTTGGCGGATTCGACCTCGGCGCGCGCAGCAATGACCTTGCTCTCACCGATACGCTTCGACTGAGCCGCCATCGAGAGAGAGTCTTGCAGGTCGTTGCTGAAGATTATGTCCTTGATCAGCATCGACTCGACCTTCACTCCCCACCCGGCTGCGACCTCCTCGATGATCTCCGAAGTCGACTGAGCGATCTCCTCGCGGCGCTCGATCACGTCTTGCAACACACGCGCGCCGATCACGTGGCGTAGTGTAGTCTGGGTGCGCTCGATCAGGGCCTGTCGCACGTTCGAGATACCGAACGCGGTCTTGTGGGGAGAGACTACTTGGTAGTAGATGACGGAGGTCAGGTTGAGGGTCACGTTGTCCTTGGTCATGCAGACTTGGCGCGGCACCTCGACGATTTGAATTTTGACATCGACCGTGGTGATATGTTCGCTAAGCGGGTTGATCTTGACCAGACCAGGATCGACCGATCGTTCGAAGCTAGAATTAATCATTGTCAGTAAGTGATATTCGGAGGCATGGCGGAGAGGGGATCACTTACCGTCCGAATCGCGAGATCAAACCGACCGCACCCTGGTCGACTGACTTGAAGGGGTTCGGGCAGCAGATGCAGCAGGGAATAGCTCCAAAGAATCCGATACATTCACCCAGGCCGTGGACTAAACGAGGAATACATGGTTAGGAAGAGAGTCGCAGCGCATACAGTATTGGTGTAACTCACTCAAACCGGCATACCAGCCATGCGAATCGGGGTTATCATCCTCATGATCGATTTGATGCGCGTATTTGGGCTGCAGATCGCTCATATGAAATGGCTGAACATTGACCAGAGGTTGATGTGCTCCATGACCATGATTGGGGGCGGGAGCCTTGCCGGTGTTTGCGCCGTTTGCAGACATGGTTCAAATATTATGGCAGTGTTGTGGACCTTTGGATTTGGATGTTCAAAGGTAGAGATTTGATTTAGAAGGGATGAAGAAGGGGGGAAGTCGTAAGGTTTTAAATGTTCGAAAGTCAAAAGGTAAACAACACAACCTCCCTGCGCTTCCCCGCAGTGAGACCATGTCTTCACTTGGGCAATGCCCACAGGACTGGATATGATTGGATAAGCGGTTCTAAGCCTCCCTCTTGCCATGGCTGAGTCTTGTCGGGCGCTGGTCATGAGGGGGCCGAATGAGAGCTAGGATCGTCATGGCTGTTTGCGGCGCGAACTAGTTGATATCCATATTGTAGGGTATCAAGGTGGCAATGGCTATAGCTTCAAAGGTTGGAAGCCATATATTGTAGCAGTAGATGTAAGGTAATCTTCCATTCCCATTCCTCGAATCCTGCGTCGCATCGCCGACATTGCACATTCTGATCGGGCATGTCTGGGCATGTCTGGGCGTCGTCATAGCGCTCGAACCTCCTCGTGTAGCTAAAACCGACCGCCCGAGTCACAGTCAGAAACTCTGCCGCTTTGAACTTCATACGATCACCCTTTTTTGGGAGAAATGGACTCAACTACCTTTTCGGACTGTGGATCAATAAGGCTCTTGATCGAATTGTCCGCGGGCGCCAAGCAGGGAATCTTATTGGATTTCGAATGATATCGTTATCAAATTTGGACAAGGCTCAGTGAAGACGAGGCTGATTATCAAAAACCTACGAACTCAATGATCATACTATCCCGCGTCCCGCGTATCCATCGTTTCTCTACCGATCGGGCGTGGCTATATATCGTTATGGGATACGTTAAGGGCCATGTGAAAGGCCCTTTTAATGATTCTCATCTGATAGCAAAAGTAGCGCAAGTGCTCGATTACTTGAGCACACTCACTGCAAATCATCCGGGAAACCTTGGCGGGGGGCTATCTTAGGGATTCTCTAGCCTGAGACGGAAGACTCAATTGAGCTTTGACGATGGTTTAACAGCAGATTGTTTCCAGGCGAGGGAAAGACCTAGTGCTTTGGCATTGCATATTGCACCAGGAATATTATCTGGCAACCAGATGGTAGGATTATATGGTAGACTGGGCCTCTGCAGAGTTTCATCCCAGAATATTTGAATCCTGGACCCAATGGAATATCGAAGGGATGGAAAGGTCATTCAACACTCAGCTCCTACCGTCAATGAAGCTGCTTCCACCTCATGGGAGCGTTCAACAATCGCAGACATGCCGGGCTTGGTATAATACCCAAAAATATATTTCGCCCTTGCTATTTACATGCACTAATCTTTGTTGACAGTTTGGTAGCTCTAGATCCGCTGTGGCCGACATGACACCCCAGGATTAGAAAAAGCCACGATGCCCCCTTTGCCTTTCGCAGATAGCAACTATGGCAATTAAAGGTATGTCGATATTGAGACTACGGGTTAAAGGTCCAGGGCGCAAGGCGGATCCCACAGCCATGCCGTGAACTTTATATTCCCCACCACACGAGCTGTCAGAACCTTGGAACCCTCCCGAAAGCGAGAGCGAATACGAGACATCGGAAGCTCGGGTCAAGAGATCTTTGGCCCCATGTGCTTGGCTTGGCCCCAAGACTCAGGAGGCAGTGTCTAGGGCTCGCTTAACAAGCAGCACTGTCATAAACTACTTTATATGAAATAGTAAGCCCTCTTATATGAACTAGCATCATTGGTCTAGTGGTAGAATTCGTCGTTGCCATCGACGAGGCCCGTGTTCGATTCACGGATGATGCACTCATTTTTTGTTTTTTTTTTTGCTTTTAGTATGACGGTTAGAAGATGTTACAATTATCCTTTTGTATATTTTTTTAAATATAGATAGACTGAATAACAATGGATACGTACTTTCTCTTGTCTTGGGGCTTGTATTCTATATAGGAAACAGTATGGATCGAAAATCGACCAAATCGGGTAACGACTAGGTTAAACCAACCCCGAATATAGTTATACCACTGCTCAATTGAGCATCAAGTTCAATGTAGAACAACGATTGGGAGGGTGAATACAATTGACCATTTCACCATGATCAATGCCAAGTATGAATATAGTCCCACCTAAAAAGGGAGCAAGTATAGAAATGAAAGGAAGAGAAATCCCTCATTCCTGATTGGGATAACATCGCGCCATACTTCACTCGGTCGAGAGAAGATAAACGTAGAAAGCACAACACATGTTACGAATTTCAATATCAAATCCGATCCAATCCAATCCATGAGAACCTTGGAATCCCAACCCTTTTAGCAATTTACGTATCACCCCACATTTACATGCTGACGCCATCGGCCTCCAACTGCACGTCTTTTTGCACGTCTCACGACAATGCACCGCGGGGTTGGCAGATACGGAACACGTGCAGGGACAATAAATATAATCTACCCCTCTAGAGCTGTTGTAGACTCAATTAATTCAATTCAATTCAATTCAAATCAATTCAATCATCCTAAGTCAAACACCACCCTCACCATCACCATGTCTTCCGAAAAGAAGCAACTCATCATCAATGCCTTTGCGATGCACTCGCCGAGTCATCTCAACCCAGGTCTATTCCGTCACCCCGCAGACCAAGGCGCGGACTACAAGAACATTAAGCACTGGATTGCCCTAGCCAAGAAGCTCGAAGATGCCAAATTCCACGCCATCTTCTTCGCAGACGTCCTCGGAGGCTACGATGTATACCGAGGCCCCTCCAACCTCACTCCGACAATCCCCGCCGCCGCCCAATTCCCCATCAACGACCCCCTCTACAGCGTGCCCGCCATGGCCGCAGCCACAGAATCAATCAGCTTCGGCGTAACAGCCTCAACAACATACGACTCCCCCTACGCGCTGGCAAGACGCTTCTCCACAGTCGACCACCTCAGCAACGGCCGCATCGGCTGGAACATCGTCACCTCGTACCTCGACTCCGCGGCTCGCAATTTCGGCCTGGACACACAGGTCGAGCACGACGAGCGCTACCGCATCGCAGACGAGTACCTAGACGTCACCTACAAGCTGTGGGAGGCGTCCTGGCGAGACGACGCCGTGACCTGGAAGCAGGGCACCCAGAGCAAGACCCAGGCCTACGCGGACCCCAAGGCTGTCCGTGAGATCAATCACAAGGGAAAGTACTTCCAGGTTCCCGGCCCTCATCTCTGTGAGCCCAGTCCCCAGCGCACGCCGTTTATCTTGCAGGCTGGTACGTCGACCGCGGGTAAGGCGTTTGCCGCCAAACATGCCGAGGCTGTGTTCTTGCATGCGCAGAAGCCGGAGCTGGTTCGTCCTTCCGTTGATAGTATCCGCCAGCAGGCCGCCGAGCTCGGACGCAACCCGCAGGATATCAAGGTTATTGCCGGTGCCTTGGTGATTGTTGCTGAGACCGACGAGGAGGCGTATGCTAAGTTCGAGGAGCTGAAGACATATGGTGATCGGGAGGGCGCGCTTGCTCTCTTCGGTGGCTGGACTGGTTACGATCTGTCTACCTACTCTGATGACCAGGACTTCCGTTTCGTGGAGCTTCCTGCTGTTCGCAGTATGGTGAACCACTGGGCTAGTACGGTGCCTGGCACTGAGGGCCAGAAGTGGGATAAGAAGACTATTGCTGAGTACTTGGTGCTCGGTGGTAATGGTGTCAAGATCATTGGCAGTGTGAAGACGGTGGCTGATGAGCTGGAGCGATGGGTGACTGTGGGTGATGTTGACGGTTTCAACTTCAGCTATGCTAGTCTCCCTGATACCTTTGACGATGTTATTCGTCTACTTCTGCCGGAGTTGCAGCGCCGTGGTCTGTTCTGGTCGGACTACGCTGTCAAGGGTGGAACTTTCCGTGAGAACATGTACGGAAAGAAGGGTCAGTCCAGACTCCCTGATGCGCACCCGGGCGCGAAATACTTCTGGAAAGCGGGCCAGGAGGTGCCTCCTTATTCATTGGAGGAATCTAAGTAGAATATCTGCATTAGAACAAATAAAAAATTGTTGCTAGCCCTTGTTAATAGAATATCATATGGCTTCATCTTCTTATCGAATCTACACTGAGCATAAATAGTGATGATAAAGGAAACCACAGGTAGTACTGTGTTGAGAAGAAGACTAAACAAGGCAGGGAGCAGGTCCTATCAGAACAGTCTCAACAAATAGGGGGAAAAAAAATAGTATTGCCCAGCGCTAATTCATGTATAGGTATATCCAAATAGACACTAACACTCTTGCATTGGAATGATCCAGTCTAACGAACTCCATACCAAATCAAACATCCCACCATCCCTCCATGTGAGACTTCAAATCAATCTCCTCGGGCAATCTCAGATGAGGCGTTAGCTCCGCATCAGGAGCCAACTCTTTCGTAGTCCAGCCATTACCAAAGTAAGCAAACCGATTCCCACTCGGGTTAACATAGGTATACTCCCAATCCTCCCAGCGCGGATCCCGACGAATATAATTCGAATGCGACGCACTACCGGGGAAGAGACCGTGGATACGAGACCCGGGCTTGCCACCGTTGTACCACGAGCTACAGTTCGCCGACCAGACAGTGCGCGGGTAGAACCGGTCGCAGTACTCGACGAAGTCATCGGTCGCCTGGGCGGACGGGACGATGGTCTTGATTCCCTGCGAGCGGACCTTGCGCAGCACCTTCGCGATGTATGTCACTTGATTCTCGATGGTGTTGGGCACTGTGCCGCTGTGTCCAGAGGCGTATGGCCCGCCGAGCCAGAGGAGGTTCGGGAACCCGGGTGTTGCGAAGCCGAGGTATGAGTAAGGGAATCCGAATTTGCCATCGTGTTTCCAGGCTGTCTTTAGGTCGACTCCGTCGGCGATGATGGAGAACGGGGGTGCGTGGTCGACGTTGGCCCCTGTTGCGCAGATCGTGATGTCCACTTCGCGCTCCACCCCGTCTTCGGTCACAATGCCCTTCTCGGTGAATCGTTTGATGCGTGTCTGGATGTAGTCGACGTTGTCTTGGGATAGGGCCTCTAGATATCCGGGGCCTGGTGTTGGGCGACGACACGCCGGGGGGAAGTCGGGGATGATCTTATCTGCCAATTCGGGCTTGTTTGCGATACGCTTCAGCATCAGGGCGGTCCATTTCTCGCGCAGTTCGTTGTTCTCAGGTGTGTCTTTGAAGATTGCTCCAAAGCGCTGGAAATATCCCTTCTCGGTATCCCTGCGGTATTCAAGATACGCCTTGGGATCTTTCCATGTCTCTAGCTGTGTTTCGGAGAACGAATTTGGCTCCAGTCGACGGATTCCAACGTTTCCGCTGCTGAATGAATCTGCGATCCAAGTTGGATTCCGAGCGTAGTGATCAACGTGGTTGGCAAATGGTTGAATAGAGGGTAGAACCTGCAAGCCGGAAGCGCCATTTCCGATAAGAGCAATTCGCTTGCCCTTCAGGTCGGTGGTTGGATCCCAGTTTGAGGAATGGAAGAGCTTTCCCTTGTAATTGTTGATCCCTTCATAGTCGGGTAGCTTCCAGGCATTGAAATGACCGATGGCGTTGATTAACACGTCCAGCTCTTCCTCATAGATCTGTGCATGGATGTAAGCATAGAACGTTCAGATTAACAATAACTATTTCTTACCTTGGAGCCATCTACATGCTCAACAGTGACCTTCCATTTCCCTTTCTCGGGCAGCCATTCGGCCTTCTGCACTTTTTGTCCCGCGCGAAGGTACTGGTACACATTGTGCTTCCGTGCAACACCCTGCCAGTATTGTCTGATCTCATCTCCCTGAGCGAATTCTTCCGTCCATTGGGTATTTGGCGAGATGCTGGATTGGTATACATGTGCAGGGATATCGCAGCGAACACCGGGATATGTATTCTCAAACCAAGTGCCTCCCTAAATAATGTTAACGTCGAACAACTCATCGATGGACATTAACATACCACATCGGCATTCTTATCATAGATTCGAAGATCCAGTCCCGGTAGCTTCGCAGGGAGCAATATGCCCGCGGTAATTCCTGCCAGACCCGCGCCGATAATACCGACCTTGATGGGTCGCACCACATCAACCGGGTGCTCCTCCAGTTCAAATCGGATCTTCTCAAGCTTCTCTGATAATCCGGTGATATCACTATTCACCGTTACAGTGGTCGATCCATTGCGGTCTGAAGGACCCTTGATCGACTCCGAGACAGGTTCGATATTCGAGGAAAGAGCCACGGGCACTTGTACGAGAGTCATGATGGGCTTATCCGTTTCTCTTTTCTCTCGAGTAAAACAATCACAGCACGAACATGTAACCGCTGTCGCATAGTTGGATATCCCGGCATTCTTGTAGATTCACCCCCACCTGCACGTCATGCGCAACGTTTTACACGCCACATAATGCGAATTGCAATCCAGCGCATCGAATCTGATAATTGGCTTCATATGGGACGATTGCAGTCGGTTATGCGGCTATAATTGTGATGTTCTCGGGACTGATTTGATGTCGCTAACACCATCGCGGTTCCAGATGGCGTGCCGAGGGGGGCTATCGTGAACACCATCCTCTCCACTCCCCACGCCATTGCGGAGTGCCATGGTTGGAGTACAAGTTGGGGTATCGAGGTTGGAAATTGAAATGTCGCCATTTGTCTCGGCCGATTCGAGTTGAATGCCAAGGTATTTAAACGGTGAAGTTCTGGAAGAGACGAATTAATATCGTGGATGTTTCCAAGGTTGCATATCAAAGGATTGCACGGAGTACTCCGTAGTACAGATCATTATCTACTACAGCAAGGATACAGCACTGTCACAACTACAGTAAATGACAAATTCGTGTGAACAGCGACATCATCTCCATTGCAGCCCAACTATGCTCCTATTGGCGGAACTATATAAATTAAAGCTCGGAGTAGCCCTTGACCATTGCGTTTTGGTGTTTATCAGGTTGCTTAGCCTTATTAGGCAGTCGTGAAGAACCACGTGCCTAAAGTATGGATGACTCCCCAGGTGTAAAACATACCCGAGTCTCTCGAGTGACTACACCGGCGCTGTTCTTACACATCACGAACATAGCCGTCATCTTTTTATCAACTTGCTCTTATCAACTTGCGCATTGGCAATCAGCTTCACCTGAGCAACCTCGGAAGATCCTACAGTGATACAGCAGCGATCTCCGGATACTTAAGAGGAATATCAACCCCAGTCTTCCACCGATATCAACTACAAATGAAGAGCTATCGGCCAGCTTTTCATTTTTGGATTTGTCGGCAGGTCGCGATATAGTCGTTCTTGTCAGACTCATGTACAGAGTATTGATTGAGGTAATGCCAAGTGCAGTTTTAGCGCATGACTCACGATAACCAGACAGACTACAATCTCTTCGCCTATAACCATACAACGAACTCATCTCAAGATACCATCCATTTCTTGAAGTCCAACTGCATATAAATTTGCATTTCTCGAAGACAATCCAGCACGCACCCAGCATACAGCACCCCCACATTCACCATGTCCTCTACCCCGCCAACAAGTGTACTCCCACCTAAGACATGGACACGAGATACCAACCGCGAATTCTTCATCTCAACCGATCCAAAGTTACTCTCTGTCAAAGCAGTCAATGCCGCACTCAACAGAGACTTCATTTACTGGGTCAACGAGCCCATCCCAGAGAAGGTGCTGTGGCAGATGCTCTACGGCTCCTTGTGCTTCGGCGTGTACAGGTGGACCCAACCTGTGAATGATGCTACCACCCCATCTCCGGAGAACACTGAGCAGATTGGGCTTTCTCATACCATCACAGATGGTTGTACATTTGCTTATCTGTCGGATACTTACGTTCTCCCTGAGTACCAAGGCCAAGGACTTGGGAAATGGCTTATCGGTTGTGTTGCGGAAACATTTTCCAAGGAAAACATGCCTTATCTACGTCGGATTATGTTGATGACGGATGATGAGCGCACGCAGGCTTTCTACGCGAATATTCTTGGTGTGAAAGTCATTGGGCATGAAGAACGAAAGGACATGGGGAGGGATTTGGTGTTTATGTGTGCGAGACCGGGGGTATCGGATTGAAATGCCTACTCTGAATTTGGTGCCTGGTATAGGTACTTGGGTTTGAGCAAGAAGTAGACTCGTGGCTCTGGTAGCTCATATTCATCATTTCACTCTCTACCACGGAAGTTGCAAAGGAGTCGGCAGGTTCTTCCCAAGAACAACTTCTGCGGTGCCGATATCTCTGACATGATAGATTAGCCTGGGTTTATATAATAGACAATCAAATTTCTTACCCTGGTCCTGCTGGCGCCCAGTATTCTCCGGTCTTGCTAAGATCAAAATCTTCGATGAAAGATGCAAGCGTTTTCGCTGCTTGATCTGGTGTCACGGCTGTTTTCCAAGAGATATAGGTCAGACATTAGACCTAACAAGTTCCCGAAGCCTTGTCATAAGGCCTGTAAAATGGTCACTCACCTCCACCTGCATCCCAGTACTTATCAAATCCAACGCTCTTCGTCATCTCCGTCCGCATGAATCCAGGATGTACCAGACCAACTGCAATTCCCTTTGGCTTCAAGTCCAAACTTAGGAGCTTGCCGACCATATTCAAAGCAGCCTTACTAGCATGGTGGCCAAAGTTACCCCCGCCTTCTTTCTCGTGGCGCAATGTGATGCTGCCACTCTCGCTGCTGACGAGAATGACTTTACTGCCCTGGTCCAACAACCCGGCTTTGACAAGATTGTGTACCACAAAGACGGGACCAATGGCAGAAGTCGTATACATCTGAACCTCCTTCTCCCAGTCTGGAGAATCGAATGTTTCAAAGCCAAAGTAACCAGCGCTAATGATGACTGTCGATAGCTTTGTAGATGGAAGCTGCGAAACAAGCTTTTGCCCCACATCTGGCTGGGAGATATCAATTCCGGTCAGCCAGGTGACACCTGAGCTTGGCTCTGGGTTGGAAGATCGAGAGGTTGCAAACACATGGGTTCCTGGCTTTGCGGAGTACAGTGTCCGCAGAGAGGCACCTAGTCCCCGAGTGGCACCTAGAATGAGGATGTTGTCGACCATTTTGTGAGTTGGAGTGATATGCTTAAGGTATGGGGTTAGGGAGGTCTTTATATATATGTTGGGCACGCCATTGACGCAATGACGTATGCCCAGGCCTATATAAACTCGTAAGGATTCCATCGAACCATCTGGGCAGTTTGTTCTGTACGACGCAGCTTGCATAGTCTATATATCAAGCTTGACTACTGTCTATGTCATGTTCATATCAGACCATTGCCTGCATCTAAGTGGAACCATGATTCATTCATCTTGCTCCTTGCATGTTTGTTTGGCTACCTTGGTCTAGTTGCTCGTATTCGACAGAGCCAAGCTTATCATGTTCTACTAGAAATAACAGCATTTAATTTGCCCTTGGATGCTACAATCACTCCGTAGTTGTCTTTCAATACATTTGATCGGACGGAGTGCCCAGCCCTCGAGGGTGGACCATCGAGGGGCTTAGTCATGTGCTATTTATGGAACCTAGCCTAAGATTGCCCCCTTCAATGAACCTGTTTTATCTCCATGAGCCCCGGTAAAGTGCGCTTCTCGTTGGGAGCCAGTCAATTCATGTGCTGCAGGGCCCAAGAATGAGTGGCTTTGCCAAATTCGCCCTCTCCGTTCAGAAAGTACGGGCTGCGATCCACAACAGGAGAAAGGTGGGTGCCAAGGACCATCGTGGATCAACTTTAAGGTGAGATCTTTTGCGACAAGCCGCGAATTTCACTGACTCACCTCGCTGTTAGAAAGGATCCTACAGATCCTCCACTACCCTCGCCATGGGACCTCCCCGTCGAGATTCAAATCCGCATATTCGCATACTCCGGCATCACAGACTTCCATCCGCTGAGACTCGTATGCAAGGCTTTTTGCCAACTGCTCACCAGCAACGAGCATGAGATTGTCCGGCAGTATCTCCGATTGCGTCGCCACGGTACCCTTCCATCCCCGATCGACAATGATCGAATCTATACTCGAAACCCCGGTGACGATGTCGTGCTGTTATCGGATCTATTCCCACCATCCAAAAGCGCCAGGGGCGGCCATCTTTATACCTTCAAATACTTGCATGGGCTGCGGCGACGGCAAATGCTCTGCTCAAGGCTCTGCTACTACCTGGCAGACCGGATCCTCGATCGATTCATCCAGACTGAACCGGCCGTCATGAAGGCCTCATTTCCTGCAAAGCGAAACGAGCGCAACGCCCTTGTAAAACGCGGCATAGCTAGCATATGGTTCCACCTTGCACCACTCATGTAAGGACAGCGCAGAATTGCTTCACCCCAGCAAGTCACTGACCTCTTCTCTACCAGGTACTATACACTCTATTTTTTCGAATCATATGCATCCGCCCGGCGCGAGCACACGAACATGCTCGTACAAAAATACGAGGCAGGCCAGCTCCCTGTACCATTACCGCTCGAGGTACGCCAGAGGATGTACCGCGAGCTACAAACCCGGATCCTCCAAAGCCCTCCCTTCACCAATACGGCGGCGTTGGTTGCAACACACCATTGCATGCATCTGCTTGTTTCATATATACGCTACGCTATGTCTTTGGACGGACATGACATTGATGACTCGTGGATTAGCTCGTTGCTCACATTGGCGCCGTTTGTGCGGATCGTTGAGTTTTTCTCCGCTGAGATCGGGGACGGTGGGAGCCAGCGAGCGCAACGCAAAGAGTTTATGTACAACTTCTATCAGGACACGACGATGTATGAAAAGGATCCTATGGACTCGGTTGTTTTTGCGCGCGTGTCTGCGCAGAACCTGCATAGTTCAGTGCAAGATATCTGGTTTGCAGCCGCTGAGGCTGAGTTGAAAGCCCGGAAAGCGATACCCCATAACGTAGAGCACGTCTGGATCTGGAATGGTATTCCAATTGTTTTTGGGTGTCCGGATTGTCATCCCACGAGAGGATGGCAGGCATGATACATTGAATTTGAGTGTTGGAGGCGCCTGGGGTCTTAATTTTTATACCGGACATATATTGGAGTTGGATAGATGAACATTTCAGCTAATTGCATTTGCATTCCATTTCACTCTTTTATTTCTCTCTTCTGAAGCCAAAAGACGTACTGGTAGTTAGGAAATTGATAGATGTTTGCTTTGTTTGCACCGGCACGCGTCACTGTACATCCAAATATCAATCTTCCTCGACGACGATATGCTTCAATTGTAGCATAATAATTAGCCGAGTTTATTGCAAACTCGTGCATTAGCTGCCATGGAACAAGCAGACAAACGACAGTTTTTCAACACTTCTTGGACCATCCACCGGCTCTCCCCTCTCCATCATGGGAAGGACTATAAAGCCCTCCTAGACAACCAGGTCGCGTTAGAAACATATGCAACGCGTCTACGAGACCATCTCACAGGCGATGTCCTCGCTGGTGTTCATACAAGCACTGGTGCAGCAGACGACGACGCGTTTTCCAAAACAGGCGCCCTAAAAAATTGTCTATGGCGGCCAATCTCTTCTCAACCATCGCGCGACGAAGCGCCAAGCAGATCACAGAGTATCACATTTCCTGGGATTCTAGTAACACTAGAATATGAAAACATCATCTACAAAGCAGCTTTGCTCGCAGACACAAAATCACCACCAACGCAGCGCACGGGATCCACATCTCTCCCTCTCCTCCTAACCCGATTCCCAACTGCGCTCCGGCAAACATTCCTCACCTTCCTATCTACCAATTTCGATACCTACTGCTCGCCACTCCGACTGCCGTCGAGCTTTATCTGCGCGGGTCTGGAGAAATACGTTGACACCCTGCGCACTCAACGGACAAGTACAAGCGACACAGTCGAAGATATTATCAAAGAGTTACAGCTCACGCTCTCCTTTTCACCGTCTATCGCACCGGCGCTGAGATCCCTCAATGTCAGCATCACGCGCGCTTCACTAGCGGACTTCCTGCGCGATCAGTCTGGACAGTCGGCGCCGGAATCACGCCTTCAGCATAAACTGCGCAGTCCTCTCATCGCCAATCTTACTTCGTACCTGGAGACGCATCTTGCCATGAAGCTGGATCTGGATGGGTCGTCTTCGGACCAGGTTGCTAAGCAGCATGTGCGACTATCGAAGGTTGCATGTGCTGCTTTCGTTTTGGGTGGCGAAGGACGTGTGAAACTGGTTGTGGCTGCTGATAGGGATGCCGGGGATGAGGATGGGGATGGAGATGAGGGCGCTCGAGTTCAAGGCGACAGTAATGAACTTGTTTCGGGGGCGGCGGAAGCGCTTCTGCTCGAGGTGATCCGGAAGGCTGTTGTGGAGGATCATTCGGCTACGTGAGCCTCTGGGTGTTTTTCTGTGCCAGTGTGAAACTGGGACATGTTATAATATCTTTCGAGCTCGGAAGAAGCGAGTGCGAACCGACCAGTATGCCCTGCCTGGATTCACGGTGCTAATAGCTTTGTTCTTGAAGCTATTCAATTCAATCCGCTGGACTCATCGCCAATACACCACTTGCAACTAAGTGCAAACCGGGGCGGCTAAATTGCAGCTGCTAGTCATGTTTTGACCTAGTGGTTCATCACCCTGATACGTACTGCGGATGCTGCAATTGAGGCTTTCATCGCCAGAATGGCACGATCAGGTCTCCTGATCATGGTGCATACCAAAGCATGAAGGGTTTATTTCAATTCCCATTAAACCCAAGAAAAGCAAGGCTCGTTATTGGAAAATAAGTAATTGCCCATGGATAGGTGTTGAACTTGCACCTTGACAAAATGTCAAGTAGTATAACAGTTTAATTATATTTTAGATGATCGAGAGCAATATGTCTGTACAATATATCCAAACTGTACCCAAACACATGTCACCAATTCCAGCAAGGTAGACACACTATATCTCCTGTGTCTGGTTCTCAGATTCCGCCAACCGCAGCGCCTCATCAACACTAGGGACGAAATGACTCAATCCACCACATGTCTCAACAATCCCACTCAGCTCAAACATGCGGAACACACTCCTATTGGGCAAACGGGAGAAGAATACCCTGACGCGTTGCTCTGTGTACGCTTGTACGATTTCCGAAAGAACCTGTGTACCGGACCCGTCGATACTCGTAACGCCATGAACATCGAAAATGATATTTTTATTGTGTTCCGGAGCACGCATGCGCGGCAGGGAAGGGTGAGCATGAGTAGAGCCGTAGAGTTCTAGACGTCGCAAACGGTTCTTGAGATCACCTGTGTTGGCAAAGGTCAGGGGCTCGGGGATCTTGACGATCAAGGCGCCTTCGATTAGCTCCACGTTTTCCGGGTGGAGCTCGGCGTTGTCGAAACGCGCGGTTGTGCCGCCGAGGACCTTGCCCAGGATCTGGATGCGGGGGGCGGTTGCATGTCGAATGAGGATTAGCACTGACAGGCCCATTCCCATCGCCATACCTAGTTCTAAGGAGTAGAATATTGTTGTTGTGAAGATGAGGAACATGAGAACAAGCTCTGACCAGCCCCGCAGGCGGAAGAAGAAGATTAGGTCATGCGGGCATTCTTCCACAAGAGTGAAGGCTACCACGGAGATCATGGAGCACAGGACTGCTTTCTATTGGAAAATCATGTGGTCAGCACTTGGAAAAGCACACGTGTGGTATATATTTGAGAGGGACGAACCGGGAGGTAGTAGAGATAAGGCAAAAGCACCATGACACATGTGAATGTGATGATACTGAGAAAAACACTAGTCATAGGTGACCGTGCTCCTGTCTGCGAGCTAAGCTTGCTTCGCCCGTATCCGCCAAAAGCAGGCAAAGCCGAGAAACAGCCTCCGATGACATTGGCAGCGCCTAGTGCAACCATCTCACGATTGGCACTTATGTGCATTCCCTTGATACCATCAGAACTGCCTCCGCCCAGGCCCTTGGCCGCAACAGATGACTCAAAGAAGCCAAGGAGCGCGATAATAAAGGATTTGCTCAATGCTGTGCGCACATGCTTCATATATGCAAGCTGGAAAGGCCAAGTGAAAGCGAATAGTCCTCCAGAGCCGACTTCTGTAGGTCCAAGAATTTCGAGCCCTTTAGATTCCCAGTCGAGGTGCCAAGCCAGAACTGCTGACAGGGCAACAACCAGGAAGCGGTCTGGGAAATAAATCACTTGGGGAATACGAGGCACAAGCATCTTTTTCAAAGTTCTGCGGAGGATCAGTATGGTGAATATAAACCCGGGGATACGGTACGCACCTGAACACCATGATGACAGAAAAGCTGACGATCGAAACGATGGCAGTTAGTCCATGGCACTCTCGAGCGTATCGAAAGATGAAAATCAGTTTTTCAACACTAGTGCCATGGCTAACACGGGTTTCTTTGGCAAGCTCGGCCAGACCCAATTCTGGGATAAGCTGGTCCACAAAAATCACAAAGCCGATGGCAGTGATGAAACCCCTCAAGAATGGTCGACTGAGCACATTGTCCAAGAATCCTAGGCGGGTCAGTCCGGCAATGAGTATCATGGCGCCGGACAAGGCAGTGGCCACTCCTACAACAAGAGCGATTTCTGTAGGGTCGTCCTCGCCCGAGCTTCCTTGCATGACACTTGCTTTGACAATAGCACCCGTTAGCAAGGAACCTGCGGCCTCCGGCCCAACTACCAAGAGAGGGCAGCTTCCCAAGATGGCATAAATCAAGGGGTGGATCACGAAAGAGTAGAGGCCGCTGATGGGTGGTGCGTGTGCAAGATTGGAGGCCAAAGAGAGGGCCATCGGGATGTAGATGGATGCCACGGTCAACGCAGCCATGAGATCTCCGCGCAGGAATGACCAATGATATTGTCCAATCCAATTGAAAAAAGGAATATAATAGGATATGTATCTGTCATCGATTCGTCAGTTACCAATCTTGAGGCAGGCTACGAAAGTGCTCGCAGTATAAGAGTAAGATACGACCTACTGTTTATTCGTCTCGTTTATTGGAAAAGTGAACGATGATTTCAACTGTGGAGTCTCTGAATCTGAGACCGACTCGTGATCTACTATACCTCTAGGGCGACCGGCCGCGCCGTCCGCCAATTCATGTCCGTTATATCCAAATGCGCCCGGCCCCCCGATGTATGAGTCTCTTCCTGTATCTTCTATCCGCGGCGAGAACGTGCCATGGCTGCAGCGCCTTTCGCCGCACACAGGATCGGGCTGGAGGTATGATTCGAGAAGTCGAGTTCTCACGTCTGGTTCGCTCGGAGCCCCGGTACCAGTTTGGCTATCATGTGCCGTGTTATTATCATGGCTTGAATTTGTCGAGATCCCAAGACCGGTTGGAGGTGACGAACGGAAAGCGTCGACAATGCGGTCTCGTAGAGTCGGACGTCCGAGTCCGTCAGACTCCCCAGGGAGTAATGAACCTGTCTCAGACATGATCTGGAAAGAGGTGTTTTATCTTTGAGAGTTAAGCACGAAATAGCCCGCCATAAATGCTGGTCATGGAGATCAAAGACTAAGGCAATTAGAAATTGGGACCAGCCCGAACTGTTTGTGTCGGTAAGGCAAGGGCCAACGGCGCTAAGGAACCGATAAGCGGGGAAAGCAACCCGAGGACTGTTATCGTTAATTCAACGCAGATCCTCGGAGAATGACTGTGCAATGAAGGGAAAAGGCATGGTCAGCATAATCAAAAGAAACTCCCTGATTCGTAGAAATGTCGGATGCCATCGAGTGCCGGACATCGAGTGCCGAATGTGCCCATCTTGCCCTTGATTTCCGTTGACGCAATTGACTGATGTGTCAGCCAAGAGATATGGTCAGGTGATATATTCACTCTATATAACTTGTGACGAACTGTATACGGGTTTCTCTTATAACAATTTGACGCCTATGCTTCTGCAGGTATATTTATATATTATTAAATGTGGTACCACCTTTCTACCTTATCACATCGCATGTCAGCGTCCCAAATTCCACCTAGACCTCGGAGCCAGTTCAAACTTTACAGCTAGCCAGTCCCCTACCAGAGCTTGATGAATTCAAGTACCGCGCTGCAATTTGCAATGAGGATGATACCATTCACCACTGGAACTGGCTGGGCTGGTTAGTTTATACACGAACTGCCACCTCACCAGTGGTGTCACTTGCATTCATGCAAGCGAAGCCGAAAGCACCACGGGGAAGAGAAAAACTCCGTGTAAACTCTATCATAAACCGTGCAATCGAACAAATTGATACTATCATTTTGAAAATCGACAGAGAAGATGAAGTGAGGAGTAAGCTGTGACCAGCAGGGAGTACGTTATATAGCCGGCGTGTTGAACCGCGAATACAAGCCCGACGTCCAACTGCGGTATATGAACAAGTTCAGCAAGATGAACCAAAAGGAAGCCTTCAAACAACTCAGTCACTAGTTCCACACCAAGGGCAGGGGAAGATGAAGACCAAGAAGCGTCCCAAAAAGATTGATGAAGAAAAGAAGCGGGAAATTATAAGCAAGCTAGACAGCAACCAGAAAACCAGCATGAGCATTGCGCACAAGGATCGCTAGGCTGGTGTTGGGCTGATGCTTTTTCTTTTCAATAGCCAAATAGTTACCCAATTTACGATATAAACCGAGCATAGCACCATACGGAGGACCAAATCTTCCAAGTGCAGAAGGCGGTGAGATAATTACATAACCACGTGCCTTTTAGTCCCGTGACCGATCAGGTCAATGTGGGTTTTGAAGTCCGCCACAAAGAGATAGATTGTGCCTCATTCGCGTTACCTCTCTCTTCTGCGCTCCTGTATCTCCGACTTCACGATCACGCATATACTGTTGGCCACTAGATCGATCTCTCGATTGTGCCGTCAAATCCGTCTTGTTCGCACCTAAGATTTCCCCGAGGAAAAAAAAAACAGAACCCCGCCAAGATGTCTTTAACAAATTGTCGGTTCTATGAGGACAAGTACCCGGAGGTGGACAGCTTTGTCATGGTGAATGTCAAGCAGGTATGAATAAACTGAATAATGGCCTAAGAGATCAAAGCGACAGGGACTGACTATTTGTGTGAACGAGCTAGATCGCCGAGATGGGCGCATACGTGAAGCTGCTTGAATACGACAACATCGATGGCATGATCCTCCTCTCAGAACTCTCCCGCAGACGTATTCGCAGTATCCAAAAGCTCATCCGCATTGGGCGCAACGAGGTCGTCATCGTGCTTCGTGTCGACAAGGAGAAAGGCAAGGATACATTATTTGCCTCGAAGAACCTGAGAACTAACTTGCCAACTTAAAGGTTACATTGATCTGTCGAAGCGACGTGTCTCCCCCGAGGATGTTATCAAGTGCGAGGAACGTTACAACAAGAGCAAGGCAGTGCACTCTATCATGCGCCACGTTGCTGAGGCGACCCAGACCCCCCTCGAGACCCTATACGAGAACATCGGGTGGCCTTTGAACCAGAAATACGGACATGCGCACGATGCTTTCAAGATCTCCATTACGTAGGTTTTCGTTCTTTTTGTCTCGTGATATGATCAAATTCCTCTGACAGTTGTTTTCAGGAACCCCAACGTCTGGGATGAGATCACCTTCCCTAGCGATGCCGTCAAGAGCGAGCTGCAGCAATACATCAGCAGCAAGCTGACCCCCCATCCTACCAAGGTCCGTGCCGATATCGAGGTTACCTGCTTCGGCTACGATGGAATCGATGCCGTCAAGGATGCCCTCCGTACCGCTGAGGCCGACAACACCCCCGAGAACCAGATCAAGGTCAGACTGGTGGCTCCTCCTCTCTACGTCCTGGCCAGCCAATGTCTCGACAAGACCCTCGGCGTTAAGTTGCTCGAGGCGGCTATTGTGAAAATCGAAGAGCGTATCAAGGCGAACGGCGGTAGCTGCACCGTGAAGATGGCACCCAAGGCTGTCACTGAGCACGACGATGCGATCCTGCAGGAGCTTATGGAGAAGCGTGAGCGTGAGAACACCCAGGTCAGCGGAGATGAAGACTCTGAAAGTGATGAGGGTGTTCCTGAGTAAGTTATGGGTCATAACTCCGAGTCGAGGGGCATACGGCGGTCATGCGCTGGAATACAAAGCGGAGATCGCCGCTAGAGGGGAGTTGGGCGAAAATGGATAGAAAAAAGCTTGCACATATCGGAGAAAGGCTCGATGGCTCAATGTGCTAATGGGCAGGATTACAGTCAGAACTCGCCCTTTAGCCAGTGCAGTCGCCTGAACTTCGGGTCTGGGGATGATTTATCCACGCCTGTGCATGCGCTGCATGCCAATTGCGGTCGAAACCCTCGTGCCCACCGTCTGTCAAAGACGCTGGATTCGCACAGGGTGCAAGTTCTAATGCACATAATGTTTGCGATGCAACCGAGACGTTCAATGCCAGTCATGCTTTTAAATGCAATTCGTACCCCTGTACCTGTAAAGACACATATTCACCAACATATAGAGATACATTCGCCTCCTTACGAATTCAGACCCAGTGCCCATTACTTGGCGGGGAGCTGAAGTTTATCTACCGCCGATCATCATTGGTGGCCCCTCAAGCTAGAAACTCCGTGAGCCGAACTCTCCCCTTTCTAGTCTTTGCACTCTTGTTGTGGCCATATTTTTTTGCATATTCTACGCGATATGGGACATTGGAGGAATCTCTTTACCGCCGATCCTGGCAGGACGCGGCATCGCATCCAGGTGGAACGTCGTCGACGTACGTCATTTCTAAACAATCGGCACCGCAATGTGCTAACAAGTCACAGTGCTACCTGCCTATGCTGCTGATGAGCCTCACGCCTCTGGTGCTTCAAAGGAACTTGCCAAGGTTGCTCTTCGGTTGAAATATCAAATTGAGCAGGTTGTCTCATGCGAAGTGAAGGATAAATTCTTGACCGACCCAAATAGCCGCATCATCACGGACGATGTGGTTGCGACAGCCATGAAGGCTGGGGGAGATGAATACAAAGCATGCGTTGTTTATTGTCTTTTAGTTTGTCTGCGATGGTTCAAGATTCAAGCCTCCGTCGAGCTCTGGGATTCCGATCTTCACGAGGTTCGGGCAGTGGCTTGCGAGGTCATCGCCAAGCGCATGTAATATCCCTTTGATATTTTGGGGTTTCTGCTATTTACTCACTACTTTGAACAGAATCGAATCGGAGCCGGACCAAGATTACGTGCTGAAGGATATCTTGCTCAAGCGGTACTCCATCTTCAGTGAAGGAGTAGAGACTGATCCCGCCAATGTCATTGAACGATCGGTAGATCTCCACGCCTTGAAAATCATCAGCTCTGCCCCGTACCAGAGATGTATCCTGTACCTGTGGAGGGGTTGGATCTGTCAGGAAGAGGGCAACCCAACTAACTTTGTCGAATACAGCGAGAAGGCTAACACTAACTATTGGGTTCATTTCCATCCTGACCGGATGCGAACTCCTCTGTATCAGAATGTCTGCCAAATTTTGTTTTCCTTGGTTTACCTTGCGGTTTATACGGCGGTCATCAATACCGTGAACCCAACCGGTGACGTGGACGTGGCCGAGGGCATTCTTTACGGTATGACTGTTGCGTTCATCTGCGACGAAGGGCTCAAGTTTTGGAAGGTTGGATGGAATTACCTCGAATTCTGGAATGCCTTCAACTCAACCCTCTACACTATCCTGATCGTGTCACTTGCCATGCGGTTTATTGCCTTGGCACACTCAACATCTGCCAACGATGAACAAAGGCGGCTATACAACGAGCTCAGCTACAACTTCTTGGCATTTGCGGGCCCTATGTTCTGGATGCGCATGATGCTATACCTTGACTCGGTCCGCTTCTTCGGTGCTATGTTTGTGGTCCTCCGGGTCATGATGAAGGAGAGCTTGATATTCTTTGCTCTTCTATTTGTGGTGATGGCTGGTTTCTTCCAGGCCTTCGTCGGCATGGCCCAAGTAGATGACGACTATCCCCTTCACCGAAACATTCTCCAAGGAATGGTGAACAGTATCATGCAGAGTCCTGAGTTCGACACTTTCCAGGAGTTTGCATTTCCCTTTGGCATCATCCTCTATTATGTTTTCAACTTCATTGTCATGACTGGTAAGTTTGCGTCCAGCTTGTTTGGGCTTTTGTTGACAATTATCAGTTTTGTTGAATATTCTCATTGCCTTGTACAACAGCGCATATGAAGATATCTCGGGCAATGCCACTGACGAATACATGGCCATCTTTGCGCAGAAAACCATGCAGTTCATCCGCGCCCCAGATGAAAATGTCTTCATCCCGCGTACGTATTTTTTCCGCTTCGATGGCACACGTGTGGCTAACTTAATCTGGATACTAGCATTCAATCTCATTGAGATTCTGTTTCTAATAGCCCCATTCGAATGGTGGCTTTCGCGGAACGCATACGCAAAGCTGAATGAATTTGTAATGGGTGTGATCTATTCTCCTCTGCTTATCTTTGCGGCCTGGGTTGAGACCAGTCGGGCACGCCAGATTCAATGGAATCGACGCCATGGCGAAGCAGACGATGAATATGCCCAGGAATGGGAGCATGTGGCCACAGATGTCAACTTTGATCTTGATGATACTTGGAAAGAGCAGGTCATGGAGTCCATGCCGGATATCAAGCTTGATAATTGTACATATGAACTCAGGGAGCTGAAAGAACAGGTTAGAATGTTGACGGGAATGGTGAAGGAGTTGAATCGGGAGGTGATGGACAAGAAGGCGGATGGAGCAAGCTAGAAAGGCCCAAAACGAGTTATATATATCGACGTGCTAAACACTGGGCAGAGAACGACAGTGGGACATTATGTACTCTATATTAGATTGAGGTTGATCCCTTAATATGTCTTGATGCAAGCATATACGTTTTCACAAAGTCTATATTCAGACATCATCTTCCACATTCCCTCCCTCTAAAAAAAAAAGTTCATACGTTGTACTCCCTACATATTAACATACTAATAACGACGAGCAAATGAAAAGATCAAAAAAAAGAAATCTCAGGTTTGGTTTTAGGAATAGCCGAACGCGGGGGTCGAACCCGCAGCCTTAAGATTAAGAGTCTTACGCTCTACCGATTGAGCTAGCCCGGCCGGGCTGTTGTAGAGAGCAGCGGTAAAGTGCTACATAAGCCTATGGCGGTCGGGGCAGGCTGACATAATGATAGCGCGTCGAGCGGCGAATCCTCTGGAACCAAAAATTGTAAGGTGGAAGGTGGCTTCATCAACAAATCTGGGCATTCCCTCGATTGGATACTATCATTGCTTTCGGAATTCGTATGAGTCTTTAATTTTCAGCTTGTTAGACTCTGACCGCGGTCACTAGATTGCCACCATGTACGTTACCAGAAGCTTCCCCCGATTCTTTGCGGCTACAGCTAACAGTATACAGGGCAAAGCTCGTGGACGATCCTCAGATCCATACTGCTTCGTTGCATAACCCGATCCCTTGGCAATTACACACATACGTCTGGCCTTTCATAATCATCTGGCCCGTGTTCTTCGCCTTCTACCTCTCCCCCGAGCGTTATGATACATACATTCAGGGACAGGAATGGACCTTCGTGTTCGCGGGGTCTATCATCACAATCCAGTCGCTCTTTTGGTTGATGACCAAGTGGAACATTGATATCAACACTCTATTCACTACCATTCGAGCCAAGTCCATCGATACTGCCCGGCTTATCAAAGTGGTTCCCATCACTAACGCTGGCTCTGCCGAGATCTGCAAATTGATTAATGAGAACACCGGCACGAAGAAGACACTTTCGTTCCTCTTCCAGAAGCGCCGCTTTCTCTTTTACCCTGAGACTCGCACCTTCGCACCCTTGTCTTATGTCCTTGACGCCGAACCAAAGCCCGCCCTCGAGACTTTCCAGCTGAGCGAGGGCTTCACGTCGAAGGCCGAGATTGACCGCGTCTACAACCACTATGGCGATAACACCTTTGATATCCCGGTTCCCGGTTTCCTTGAACTCTTCCAGGAGCATGCTGTCGCGCCGTTCTTCGTCTTCCAGATTTTCTGTGTTGGATTGTGGATGTTGGATGAATATTGGTACTACTCGCTCTTCACGCTTTTCATGCTCGTTATGTTTGAGAGTACGGTTGTGTGGCAGCGCCAGAGGACCTTGAGCGAGTTCCGTGGAATGAGCATTAAGCCTTACGATGTCTGGGTGTATCGTGAACGGAAATGGCAAGAGATCACTAGTGATAAGCTTCTTCCCGGTGACCTCATGTCAGTGAACCGCACCAAGGAGGACAGCGGTGTTGCGTGTGATATTCTTCTGGTCGAAGGCAGTGTCATTGTAAACGAGGCTATGCTTTCTGGCGAGAGCACACCTCTGCTGAAAGACTCTGTCCAGCTCCGTCCTGGCGGTGACTTGATTGAGCCGGAAGGATTGGATAAGCTCTCGTTTGTGCATGGAGGTACCAAGGTCCTTCAAGTTACTCACCCTAATCTCACTGCCGACTCGGACTTGAAGAACTTGTCCAACAACGTTACCATGCCCCCAGACAATGGTGCTTTGGGTGTGGTTGTTAAGACCGGTTTTGAAACTAGCCAGGGTAGCCTCGTCCGAACCATGATCTACTCAACTGAACGTGTCTCTGCCAACAATGTTGAAGCTCTGTTGTTCATCCTCTTCCTCCTGATTTTCGCAATTGCCGCTTCGTGGTACGTGTGGCAAGAGGGTGTGATCCAGGACCGCAAACGCTCCAAGCTTCTGCTCGACTGTGTCCTCATCATCACTAGTGTTGTTCCTCCCGAATTGCCTATGGAATTGAGCTTGGCCGTAAACACTAGTCTTGCTGCTTTGAGCAAGTATGCCATTTTCTGCACCGAGCCTTTCCGTATCCCTTTCGCTGGTCGTGTTGACATCGCTTGCTTTGACAAGACCGGTACCCTGACTGGAGAGGACCTTGTCGTTGATGGTATTGCTGGACTCGGTTTAGGTGAGGCTGGTTCGAAGGTTGAAGCTGATGGTGCTCAGACTGAATTGGCCAATCCCTCTGCTGCTGGACCCAACACCACTCTCGTTCTCGCCAGTGCTCACGCATTGGTGAAGCTGGATGAGGGTGAGGTCGTCGGTGACCCTATGGAAAAGGCTACATTGGAATGGCTTGGCTGGACTCTGGGAAACAACGATACTCTGTCTTCCAAGGGCAACACCCCCGTTGTTGCCGGTCGCAACGTTGAATCTGTTCAAATCAAGAGAAGATTCCAGTTCTCCTCGGTTCTGAAACGCCAGAGTACCATCGCGACCATTACGACCAATGACCGCAAGACTTCCAAGAAGATCAAGTCCACATTCGTGGGTGTCAAGGGTGCCCCAGAGACTATTAACACTATGCTGGTCAACACACCTCCCAACTACGAGGAAACCTACAAGCACTTCACCCGCAATGGTGCCCGTGTGCTGGCTCTTGCCTACAAGTATCTTTCATCTGAATCTGAACTTTCCCAGGGCCGCGTGAACAACTACGTTCGCGAAGAGATCGAATCCGAGCTAATTTTTGCCGGTTTCCTTGTCCTTCAATGTCCCTTGAAGGATGATGCCATTAAATCTGTCCGTATGCTAAATGAGAGCAGCCACCGTGTTGTTATGATCACTGGTGATAACCCATTGACTGCTGTCCATGTCGCCCGCAAGGTTGAGATTGTTGATCGCGAGGTTCTCATCCTTGATGCCCCCGAGCATGACAACTCTGGAACCAGGATTGTCTGGCGCACCATTGATGATAAGCTCAATATCGACGTCGACCCCACTAAGCCCCTCGACCCGGAGATCCTGAAGACTAAGGACATCTGTATCACTGGATATGCTCTCGCAAAGTTCAAGGGCCAGCAGGCTCTACCTGTTCTGCTCCGTCACACCTGGGTTTATGCTCGTGTGTCTCCTAAGCAAAAGGAAGACATCCTTCTTGGTCTTAAGGACGCTGGATACACCACTCTGATGTGCGGTGATGGCACCAACGATGTTGGCGCTCTGAAGCAGGCTCACGTCGGTGTCGCGCTTCTGAACGGCTCGCCAGACGATTTAACTAAGATCGCTGAACACTATCGGACCACTAAGATGAAGGAGCTGTACGAGAAGCAGGTCAGCATGATGCAAAGATTCAACCAGCCTGCCCCTCCAGTCCCTGTTCAAATCGCTCACCTGTATCCCCCTGGTCCTTCCAACCCTAACTACGAGAAAGCCATGGAGCGGGAGTCGCAGCGCAAGGGTGCCGCGATCACCGCTGCTGGTGGAACCCCCGAGGCTATCCCAACCATCACATCTCCTGGCGCTCAGGCCTTGCAGCTATCGAACTTGACCCCCCAGCAGCAGAAACAGCAGAAGGCTCAGGCCGCCGCAGCTGGACTTGCAGACAAGCTTACGTCTTCTTTGATGGAACAGGAGCTGGATGAAAGCGAACCTCCGACTATCAAGTTGGGTGATGCATCAGTCGCTGCTCCCTTCACCAGCAAGTTGGCCAACGTCATTGCTATCCCGAATATCCTTCGTCAAGGTCGTTGCACCCTGGTTGCGACTATTCAGATGTACAAGATTCTTGCTTTGAACTGCTTGATCAGTGCGTACAGTCTGAGTGTCATCTACTTGGAGGGTATTAAGTTCGGTGATGGACAGGTCACCATCAGCGGTATGCTGATGAGTGTCTGCTTCCTTTCTATTTCCCGCGCCAAGGTATGTCATACTTCTCCGCGTTCACAAATTGCTTTGCTAATGTTTTAATGTGAAGTCTGTCGAGGGTCTGTCTAAGGAGCGCCCGCAGCCGAATATCTTCAACGTCTACATTATTGGATCTGTTCTTGGACAGTTTGCCATCCACATCGTGACTCTGATCTACCTCTCCAACTATGTCTATAAGCACGAGCCGTACGTTGAACCTCCCTCTGATTTGTCCCACCTCATAGCTAACACAACCGATAGGAGAGATTCCAATATTGATCTCGAGGGCGAGTTCGAGCCTTCCCTCCTGAACAGTGCCATCTACCTTTTGCAGTTGATCCAGCAAATCTCCACTTTCTCGATCAACTACCAAGGCCGTCCTTTCCGCGAGTCAATCCGCGAGAACAAGGGCATGTACTGGGGCCTCATCGCCGCCTCGGGTGTTGCATTCTCGTGCGCCACCGAATTCATTCCTGAGCTGAATGAGAAGCTGCGCCTTGTCCCCTTCACCAATGAGTTCAAGGTGACTCTGACCGTGCTGATGATCTTCGACTACGGTGGCTGCTGGTTGATTGAGAACGTTCTCAAGCACCTGTTCAGTGACTTCCGTCCTAAGGACATTGCTCTTCGTCGTCCTGACCAGCTTAAGCGCGAGGCGGACCGTAAGTTGCAAGAACAAGTGGAGGCAGAGGCTCAGAAGGAGCTGCAAATAAAGAACTAGTTGGCTGGTTTGAAGATTTGTATCTGCATACATAGAGAGGTTGTTGGATTTTAGAAATGTTCATGTGATGCATGACATTTTAATACATGTTTTTGCTTTTATCAAAACATTATAGCAAGTGCAAATGTTCTTTTTGGTCTGAATGGATACTGCTACTCCGTACTCCGTACGTAGTCTGCCCAAGAATTTGGATCACCACAATGTTTGAGTCAAAAAAGAATGAACCGCATATTCAGCATAATAGGGTCGAAGAATCTGTACTAGGTAGTCAATCCAATCATTTTGCCACCTCTAGACATGGAGAGCTTTGGAAAATTCCCAGTATTCAGGATACAAGCCACTAAATTCCCAATCCACAATCCCACTGACAGATCCATCGTTGACTATGGTATTCTGGAGGCGTAGGTCTCCGTGGATGAATTTGATCTGGTGTTTGTTTTGGCATAACATACCGGATAGGAAACTCTTGATGTGACATCTTGGTGCCTTGGATTGATAGGCATCGACGATTGCGTTATTAAAAGCTTCTTCGGAGTTAAAGGGTCCTGGACATGTGTATTAGCACACGTACATATGTTGGTGTAGTCGCTGCTAACCTTTGTCGTGGTAAGTCTCAAAGATCGGATCCATAATGGGGCCGGAATCAGTCGAGCCTATGTAGTTGCCGTCGATATTGCGAAGTTCGCAGATATATTGCTTGAGCTGGTTGGTAACATGGGCTTTTGTGTTCTCATCATAAGATTCCCAAACTTTATCGAGACTCTGGCCTTCCACGAAAGTCATGAAGATGTGTATCAAATAGGCTACCGTAGTCTCCGATATCTCGGTCTATCGGGCCATAAGTGTAGCAAGCGAAGATTTCCGGCACTGGTAGTGTTTCTGTATTTTGTTTCACAAACATCATGTTTTTCGCCTCGGTCAACGTGACATGGGTTCCGAATTCGACGACAATTTCGGGTGATATTCTGGCTATCCTCACGCCGCCCTATTTAAAGATAATGTTGTCGGGGTTGACTATTTCATCGACCTTGTCCGGGGAAGGCACGGTGAAGTCGGGAGCCGAGAAAAGAATGTTCATCTGGGGTTCACATTCTAGGACTTGAGCAGATTCCTCTATTTCCGGGCTTGGCATATTGAAGACAGTGGCAACACGTCAGAAGTCGGACGTCGGGGAAATTGGGAAGCTAACGTGAAGGAAGGGGGGAGGTAGAAGAGCGGGCAGATTATGACAGGGATGATGCTTGTAGACCAACATAGTACTAACCAGAATAGGTAATCTTGTGAATATGAGTTGAGAGCTTTACACTACAACTTATGACTGGGATTGGAGATATTGTCGGAATTAGGGCTAAAAGTATGAGGAATGTAGGCCTCATATAACCTCGGTGAGGTGCTGCACAGCCCATTGGATGTAATAAACCTGTTCTTACTATTAGAGTCTCCTCCGTTCTAGAATTTATAACGTAAAGAGAAAAAATCACAAAAATGACATTTAGAAAGACATCAGAGTGTTATCTTACATCAATCGTCCCTTATAGATACAGATAATCCGGTTATTGAAGTCATACGTCATTAAAGATATAGGCGGCATATATGACCGACTACTCTATGATTTCATCGTTCCTCTTCAAACAACGTTGAATTGTGTCTTCTGAATATCCAATTTAACAACAATATGGCAAAGCTGACTCTCCAGTCAACGCGTCAACTACAGTCGGGACATGGGATCCCAGTCTTAGGATACGGAGTCAGTTACCCCGCAAACACAGATGAGTTTCAAAAGCAGAGCTGACATTGTATGAATATAGGTCTATATGATGTACGTTTGAACCAATGCTTCCTCCTGAATCTCCTAACCAACGATAGTCCCTCATCCGAGACCGCGAAGGTTACCCTCGAAGCCCTGAAAGCTGGATTCCGCCATGTACGCTCCCCGGGAAGATCGCAAGAAGACCGTACTAAAGAGATTCCAGGTCGATTCGGCGATCATGTACCACAACGAGGGGCCTTGCGGAAAGGCAATTCTGAATTCGAAACTGGATCGATCGCAGGTCTTCTTCACGACCAAGATCCCGCCGCAATCAATGGGGTACGAGTCTACCAAGCGAGCCATTGATTCGAGCCTAAAAGAAGCAGCACAGGACTACTTTGACCTGTAAGCCTCCACGACAATCCAGAAACGGATATTCCCCATGGAATTGGAATCTACAGTCTAACCGGTGCATATACAGTATTCTAATCCATGCTCCATACGGCGGCAAAAAAGCCCGTCTGGGTTCCTGGGATGCACTAGTCGAAGCCCAAGGAGCAGGCAAAGTGAGATCTATCGGTGTATCTAACTTCGGTATCCACCACCTCGACGAACTGGAGGCGCACATCCAGAGTAGCGGGGCTAGCCAGATCGATGTCGGTCAGTATGAGCTGCATCCGTGGTTGGATCATTCGGATATCGTGGAGTGGTTGAAGAAGAGGAATATTGTTGTTGAGGCGTACTCGCCTCTTGCGCATGGGAGTCGCTTGAAGGAGCCTGTGTTGCTGTCTATCGGGAAGAAGTATGGGAAGACGCCGGCGCAGGTTTTGATTCGGTGGAGTTTGCAGATGGTAAGTAGGATTGATTTCCTAGAGAGTAAATGATGTAGAATCAGGATGCTAATGGTTCTGGTGTTAGGGATTTGTGCCTCTGGCCAAGTCTGTTACGCCGAGTCGCATTCGCGAGAATGTCGATGTCTTTGACTTTGAGTTGGAGGCTGAGGATATGAAATTGCTTGATACGGGAGAGTATTCTCCCACGGACTGGGATCCGACTGTTGACAAGGATTGAAGTAATTGCAGATTAGATGGGTGAAGTGTAGAGTAGAGGAACCTTGGAGAACGTTGGATTTGTCAGGCCCGTAGGAGAGGGGCTCTCCGCGGGGTGAATTTGCAACTTTCAACTTTCGGACCATCTTCATCCTCCTTCACTCATGATTAGATTCCAATACTTCTTCTATATCTAAGATCTCGCTCGTTCGTCCATCATGAATCTGATTCTATCTAGTTCGTAAGTGGTGTCATTCGATGCGCCTCGGTCACAGTCACTCAACCTTCATAGGAATATTATGCAAGCTGGGCGGCAATCCGTCATTCGCCAGCCTCTGACGCAGAAATCAAACGTTGAGCTAATCAACTCGCTTCGATCGAACTTCCTCGCCTCGCAACAAACCGAAACGTCACCGGCCAACGGCACCGACACAAATGGTCAATCCGTGTCGCATCCACGTTCATGGGCGCTACAAACCGAGGACGGCCTCTATATCCCCGAGATCGACTTCTCACAGCCAGGCCTGTCAGAGGACCGTGACCAATATGATATCACAGTGAAACTATTCTACCTACCGGGGATCCCGGTATCAAGGCGGTGCGCACACACCAGAGAGGCAATTGATCTGGTATTGAAGGAGCTACATGTCAAGTCTATCGATCTACTGATCGTCTCATTCCCGGGGATCCTGTTCGACGCAGACGACGACAGCGAAGAAGAAGACAGCGAGCTGAGCAACGGTGAACCGGACGACTTCGACAGTATGGTGCAGACATGGCACGTGCTAGAGTCGCTGCACGAGCAGGGCGTGATCGCCCAGCTGGGCGTTGCTGAGTTCGGCAGCGAACGCTTGGCCCGGTTCCTGCCGCACACCAAGGTCAAGCCATCGGTCGATCAGATCAATCTTAAGGATTGCTGTGTCGTTCCTAAACATTTGATTCTCTATGCGAAACAAGAGCACATTCAACTCCTCACCCATAACGACTGCCATGATATTCTTCCTGTCGGCACGACGCGGGAACTGCTGGGTCCCACCGAGAAGAGTGGTGCGGGAATCTTGGCTTCCTCTCCCGAGGCCAACGACGGCATCCAGGGAGATGTCGAGCCACAATGGGTGGTTAAATACACGGCAGTCATCAAGGATCGCGGAGTAGTCGAGAACAAGGGGTATTTCGCGTCGGCTCATGTCGGCACGTGTCTCAAAGACCGGTCATGAATGCTTTTTTCTTTCGTCAATAAAGATATCTGTCGTGACAAGCGTGGCGTTTCTTTTTTGCTTCTAAATCGATCATAGCAGTTGGGGGGAGATTGCATCCCATCCCTAAAATCAAACGAGAGGCTTAACCAAGCATGCTCCTCTTCCGCCCTCTCAAGCGCACATCCTCAAGCTTCTTCAGCGCGGAAGAAGCCCCCTTGTAGCTATCCCGGTAACCCGTAATCAGCGCCTCGAACAAAGGCTCCGAGCGCGGATGCGTGCTCCCAATAGCCCGCTCCAAAACATACAAATCCACCGCCCGGTCCTCATCCTGATTGCTATGCGACGCAAGACCAAAATCAATCAGCACGACATCCCCCTCCAAAGAGGGCGCTCCAGTGCCCTCAACCGCATCACCTGCGTCCGCAGATGGACGCAGCATGAGGTTACTCGTGGTCAAGTCTCCGTGCACAATACCGGCCTTGTGCAGGACACCGATGGCCGAGCCCATTTTCCTCAGCAAGCCGCGCACACGCGCCTCTTCGTTTTCAATCTGTGACTCATCCAGCGAGCCCTCGTTCTGCTTCATCCATGCTTCCCACTGCTCGAGAACTACCCGCACCACAGGACCGTCAATCCACTCCATCATTAGCCAGGCGCCGCCCCACCCGCCTTCGGGGCCGCCATGTCCCTCCCAGTCCAGGGCTAGGAGTGCTGGGACGCTCACGCCCTCCCGTATGAGTTTCGCGAGGCATCGCGCTTCGGAAATTATCCGTTGGCGGGTAAGTCGACGGTCTAGGATTGGGTGCCGGTAGGGTTTTGATGGGCGGATCTTGAGCGCGGCGGGGATGGAGGGGTCGAGGGAGGTAGTTTTGTAGAGATGGGCTTCGGCGCCTTGGGTGAGGAGGATTGGTGGTGGGATGGTATTGTTGAAGGGGGAGGGGAGAGCTGGGGGTTTGTATTCTTCCATTTCGAGAGGGTTGGAGAGAGCTGGAGAGGTTGAAAGGTGGAAAGGGATGAAGTGAAGAGGAAAAAGTTGTGGTGGGGCGGATGTCGGAGTATAACCAGTTGTATACAGAACTAGGAGGATTGAATAACTACATAATGTATGTTGACATGCTAATAAACCGATTGAAGCAGAAGCAGTTCATAATTAAATAATCGAAATCATCAATGCATAGTATCTCATAATTATGTGGACGCAAGAGTTCGTTCACAAAGCCCTATATGTATATCCCTTTCCCAATATCCAATATCCCTTCCATATTAACAATTAAAGCAGATGAAGATCCGGGCGCACATTAGCCAACCGACAAGTACCCTGATACATCCTCTCAAGGGTCGACGCCATGACCTCTAGATCAGTAGACTCCGACGACCAATGCTTCAGCGTTCGAATCGACAACCTCACCAAAGCAGTCCAATTCGACGGTAAACGTACCTGCCACGTACTAGGATCCCGAGATGCTTCAAGCTGATATAAGACAGCCCCGAGGATGTGCACAGCACAGGCGAAGCTGGCGCGCACTACATTCCAGATCCACTCGTGGCGGAATTGATACCAGTAGCTTGGTATTAGGGTGACGCAGTTGTCAATGGCTTTTTGGGCCAGATGGAACACTTCTGCCCACATTGCGTTGTTCTTCCTGATAAACGCTGGCATCCCCTGGAAGTGCATCGCGAGGTAGAACGCTGGTCGGTAGATCCTCTCTAATGCCATGTGGTACCGGCCACGGAAGAAGAACCTCAGATCTGGATTGTCTTTTTGGGACTGGATCCCGGATACCGAGATTTGGTACCTTTTGAAAGAGTTAGCAAGGCCAGTAGGGGTCCTTTCATTGCCATATTCGAAGACTTGGTCGTACCATGATGTTACTACACGCTCCGCGTCCATTGTCTTTCTTAGAAGACCGGGAATATCTTTGGTCCAGCCCTTCTCTCCTTGACACCACATGTCAGACACTATGTCATTAGTGGTTCGGCGGTTACAGATGGACCCGATGTAGAATTTCCAGCCTTTCTCTTCTTCGGTGCCATCCAGCTCAAAGCCTGGCTTGACTGCAAAATCTTGGTCTTCATCCATTTCATCATATGAGGAAGAAAATCTGCGAGAGAATTTAGGGAATGGATCTGAATAGCCCAGGCTTTCAAGACCACTGCTCCAGAGAGGGAGCTCGCTCTGCATCTCACTGTCGACGATACTTAGTTGATGATCATATAAGAGTCTGGTAAGAAAAACCCACTGTTCCGCTTGGATACAAGACCAATATAGTCTCGATTCCAGATTATGGTAATTGTCATCAGCAGTCCACTGCTCTCTACACAGCGACCGCAAACGAACTTCTAATCTGCAAGATGCCTGCTGATAACAGAACCAAGCCTGCAGAGGTCGTATGGCATGTCTGTGGTAGCTTCCAGCAAGAAGAAAACACTGGATGTCTGTTGGGGACGTGTGCAGGAAGCCGAATCTCTGCTTTGCCGCGTGGAAATATGTCTCAGCCAAATCGAGATTGGCGTCTGACATGGGTGGTGCTTGAAGTGCATCGAGATTCGCTGGCATATCATCCGCTAGGGGAACAAACTTCGATGACGTGCACGAAGCCAAGGCACACGCTAACAGCTACAGAAATGACTTAGTTCAAGTGGGACTTCCAAAGGAGAGTTGACATACCACTTGACACGAGGGGCCATCCCATCCCAGACCCTGGACGGTGACCTCCTTGGCATAACGGTCTAGACTGTCCAGATCGACTATCGGGTTTCGTCGGTGGCATAGTAGAAAGTACTTCCTGCAAAGTCTTGGGATCTCATCGACAAAGCTTCCAATCCCCACCTGCCGGGGTGCCTGCATACTGCGGGGCTGGTTATCCAGCGAGTCGAGTAGAAAAGATCGGATATGTTTCTCGGCTTCGGTGATGACCTTGTTGAAAATAGGCCATCGGAGCATATTCTCCCCGGAGCTAGCCATGTAAAGGACTCGGGGATCATTATCAGCTCCCCGGTCATCGATACTAGCGGTGCTGGTGCTAGATGGATTGCTCCCCGGCAATGAATCAGCTATGGGGCTAGTATTCTGCATGGCCAACTCAAAGAATCCTTCCTTGAGTGAGCGAGTCGAGCTGGTGGAGCCTTCGGATTTGATATTCTCTAGCAAACCGGCGATATGATTCAGTCGCTGGAGCACCTCATTGTTCGATGGGTTCCCCGAATCAAATCCAACCCTAAGAACAAAGCTAATGTTTAGTGTGTTGTCCTCTCCACACGATCATGTTATCTTACTGGTTCTGATGTGGCGATGTTTCGGGATAGTTGCACTCCATCCCCTGCACGGCGCAGTAGCTACAGGTCGGCCTGGTATTGTCACATCGAGTCTTCCGCAGCCGACAGGTCTGACAGGCCGTCGGGGCTCGGGTTCGGATCTCGCGCTTCCTAGCGGTTCTTTGGTTGCCAAACTCCATGTTCATCCCAAGTGCGAATCCGCGGGGGGGTTTTCGGGGAGGCCGGGGAGATAGATGAGGGGAGATGCGAAAGATTAAGTGCGACCCACGGATATTCAGTACGAAGTACGCCGTAGTTAGAAAGCAATTCCTCGAGAGACCGTCCACTGCACAGCAAACAAAGAAACATTCAACCCACCGAGTGCTGACGGATGTGGCGTGGCCGGATAAGGCAATGGGTAACAAAGAACTGTCGAGGCGATGTGATGGCCAAAGGTTAACCCCCATGGCTGCCTCAGGGGTTTCACGATGCTGATTGGAGGACGATGCACTCCCTGGTCACTCGGGACATGGGTGCTCTCTTGGGTGATTTGATGCCTTCTTTTTATTCCAAATAAACGGCTCCCCGACCCTTTCTCCGATCCCAAGGGTCTCGAATCTCGTATTCCTAGAGGTTCTCTTTTCGGATTGCTGCAGCCGTTGAAAAAAAAACAAGGAAATCGTTGTGATATCCCCGGATATTTGGGTATTTGGGGATGGAGTACCGATAGGTTGAGAATCCGAGACATTCCGTTGATGGGATGTTGTGAACTTCTTGTACTTTGTGTAAAAAGATTGAATATTTGAATATAACCCAAGAAGCTTGTCCCTAGATATTTCTACAGTCGTATTGGAAATTAGCTTCACGTCTGTACACACCCCGACTTTTGTTTTTTAATATTGTGATAGGTTCGAACCTGGGGCATTGTGGAGGGGGTGGTCATATAGGAGTACTCCACATTCGGCTTCTTATAGCCCTAATAGTTCATCTCACGTAGAGTCAAAGAGGACAAATGAAAACTATTGATCATATCGTCAATGAAATTCATCCGCTCAGATAAGTACATGTACAAGCCTTGTCCAAAAGGCCAAAATCTTAACGCCGAAATTAATGCACAGTGTCACAGAGTCACAGGGTCACAGCCACTTCATCGGACCTTCCTCTTGGGTCGCCTTACCAAAGGCGCTTCACAATGTTCGGTCCAAGCATCTTCAAATACCGTCTTTCGTGGGCCAATCTGGCCTTGGTAGAAGTTTAGCTTACGCACAACTTCCATAGCACCTGTACCCAGTGACACTGTCTTGCCCATGATGATACATTCCGACACACCCTCGATGAGATCGGTACGACCGAGACCACCGGCGTCGAAGAGGTGATCGGCAGTCTTCTCGAACGAAGCAAGCTGAAGGACTGAGTCACGCATCTTAGCCAGACCGAAACGCGTGATACCGAGCACTTCACCCTTGTAGGTCATCACGTCGGCCAGAAGCTGCATGTGGCGAGGATCAATGTCCATGTCCTTCATGACTTCGCTAATTTCGACGACGATTGTGCTTCGGGCAGCTTCAATACCCAGAACCTCTCGCGCCTCCATGATGTTGTTGGTCCTGGTGTGGAGACCGTCCACACCCATCGTAGTCATACACTCCCTCAATCCGTAGCCTTCCACGAGCAAAGTGTTCGTGGTCGAGGTCTCGTCCGTGCGAATGATAGCTCGGGTGGCACGTGGGTGACCCAGGATTTGGATGTTAGGAAGAATACGCTTCAAATGCTTCAGGCGGAGGAAGGGATCAACGCTCGTGGCGGCAATCTCCGTCTTAGAAAGAGATGCCTTGCTGGCCGGATCGAGATCCATGTGGACCTTGATTGAGGCTTGCTTGCACGAGAACTTGAGATCGCCTCCCTTGAAGCGCTTGTTGGTTTTAATCGCCTCGACGATCTGTGGCGTCGTGATCTCCAGCGCCAGATCCTCGATTGTTTTCCAGTTCAGAACAACCTTCAAATAGGCATCATCGGGGGACCAAACCTCCGTGATAGAGTGGATGACGTCGCGGAGGAAGGTCTTTTCAATGCGTCCTTTCACAATACGAGCAGCGATAGTGCTTTCTTTGTTGACCAATTCGCAAGCCACGACGGGAGTACTGATCTCCTTTGAGGCGTTGATGATTTCCTTGATACGAGGTACACCCTGCGTGATACTCATTCCGGCGACACCAGCGAAATGGAAAGTTTTCAAGGTCATTTGCGTTCCTGGCTCACCAATGGACTGGGCACCAACGGCACCCACAGCGTGACCGGGCTCGACCTGGGCTCTCTTGTATTTCAACAAACAGGCAGTGATGAAAGCCCTCAACGTGGTATCTGTCAGCTTGCCTGTGTGATCCAAGCCCTTACGGCTCTGCTGATCGGACGGGTCGATATCGCCGCCTTGAGAGATCAATTTGTCGGCCCTCTTTTGCACGTATTCCTGAATCGAGTCAAGGAAGTCACGGGCACTTTCGAACTGATCGATACCATGATCACTGCGATCCATATATGCCAGGTCATTGCCGAGCAAGTCCTTGCGGACTAGCTTCGTACGTTCCTTCGAAAGCATCTGTTCGCAGACTTCCATCATTTCCATCGGTAACAAGCTTCGCTCGTCGTTGTTGTACGTAGTGGATTCTGAGTGAATAAATGTTCGATCGAAGTGGACAGGTTTGGCTTTACCCT